CATGGACATTTTACAAATGTGGCAGCGATGCAGATAAACAAAAAAAAACAATTCCAGACAAAATACAAAAACATGTTAAAGTCTTGGACAAACACCATTGCATTGAACTGTAGGCCAATGATAGGCTTGAAACGCTTGACATAAACAGCTATTGGCAGCTCTTACCAATCTCAATCTCAGCTGCTTCAGACCATCTCTCCTCCAAAATATTTGACACAGCGCAGAGGTATGAACCAGCAGTTTCTGCGCTGGCATTTTCTATCTAAACAAAGAAGAACAAATGCAAAACATGATTATTTTAGGCAGCTTACAACTTCCACAACATGTGCCACTGAGTCAATCTTGCCTAAATTTAAAAGCAATGACCTGTGTGTAATCTGAACCCAACTTGCACATACAAATGAATCAATATGATTCAAAAACAGTTACAGTAGCCTCACCGTGAGTGTTTCTGTAGTCCTTTTAGCGAGGATGCAACCGTTTCTGTACCACTGGTAGGCAGGCGCAGGCTTTCCAAAAGCTGTGCATTTGAGGGTGATAGTCTCAGCTGGTTTCACTGTTTGGCTTATTGGGTGAATGACTATATGGGGTTCCCCTCTCCATGAGCGAGAAACACCTAAACACAACACATCACGTTATCCAACAGATACTACAGGCTTTAAACGGACACATTGAGCAAAATCGTACAAAATAAATCACTGTTAAGTCAATGTCAGTCTCAATATAATGCATATCTGGTTGAATAAACATAGCCATTATGTTAGCAGTTAGTAACTAACTAGCAGTTAGTTAGGTTTAATCAGTCTTACTGTTCGTAATCAAATTATACCCATGTATGTTTTTATGTAACTAACTTATGAACAGTCTTGAAGAAAAAAAATTGGATGACTAACTTGAAAGACTAGACTTAGTTGATACAACTCACCCCAGATGCTACTAAAAAAGCTTAATGACTAGACGAGATAATGGAAAGTACCTGGTTCGTCTAGGATTCGCACTTTTACCCATTCTGTGAACTGATAGTTCAAGAACAGGTCGCTCACTCTACAAATATATTTTCCAGATCTCTGAAGCGTGATGGTGAGCTCAGGCTCTGTCCCACCTTCCACCTGAAAAGATGAAGCATAATATTATTTGATTCATTTTTGTATATATTCTTAACAATACTGATAGAACTATTCATAAATGAAAAAAAAGTGTTGGGGAAAGTTACTATTTAAAGTAATGCATTACAATATTGCGTTACTCCCTAAAAAAAGTAAATAATTATTATGTTACTTTCTATAAAAAAGTAACTTTTGCTTTACTATTCGGCTAATGTAAGGCCCTGTCACACACTTTTACTTCAGCAACAAAAACAAAACAATTAAGCACAAATGTGCCGTCCATCTATTTTTGGCTTATTAATATGGCTGAAATTGGATCATCAAATGTCAGCAGCACTGACATAGGTTAATAAAATGAGATTAAAAACAAAGTATATTTGTATTATTTAACATAATTAATAATTCAGGTTTGAGTAATAATCTGTGTTGTCACTGTTTCTATTCATTTTGAGGAATACTGAATCTGTTTTTGCGCAAGTGAGATGAATAAATACATGTTCACATTTAGTCTAGACCTACAATGACCATCATGTTCACACACAACACTTCTGCACTTACTCCTTATTTCTCTAAATTTAAAAGTAATGCATTACTTCACAAAAAGAAATCTGATTACATAGCTCACATTACTTGTAATGCATTAAACCCAACACTGGATATAAAGTGTACAAACCTCTGACTGTTGTTTATCAAACCACTGATACTTCAATGAACCAGTGCCTATTGCTCGAACACTTAAGGTCACCTCATGGTTTGGTGGTACACACACAGACACTGGCTGCTGCAGAATAACAATTTCTGCCCAAAATAAAAGACAGTAGAAATGCATAAAGGGGCAAACATTTTATAATAGTTAGTTACACTTAAAAATACTAATATACACACCAGTTAGCATGACTGTCTGCGCTACTCTTTAGTGTGGAAGGGCCTAGACCACAATAGTGCTGCTCTTTTAAGGTAGTCAGTCATTTCAGAATATTACCACCTGTGTAAAAAGAAAACAGAAGTAAGAATAGTGACCATAACAACAAGTGTGGCATTCAAAATCCAAACAATGATTCTCATGGAGACTATTCATCTACATGAGGTTAAGCAATCCAGTGTTTAGAAGTTAACACAGGATTAAATGTTTAAAAAAACTAAACCTATCTTGATTTCAACAGTGTTTGTACAGTCAATCCACGCAAAAGTCTTAATAAAGAGAGTGTGTCAGCAACTTTGAAATTACTCGGTTTATGACCTGTTTTGTCAGTGATTAGAATGCAGAAATTCAGGTTAGGTCTTGAAGGTTGTCATTCTGAAAACTGCATTCTTCAAAAAGAAAAAACTACTTCAATACTATAAAATACCTTCATTAATGCATTAGGAATTATATCACCTTATGATTTTTATGTATACTGACATGAGACTGGGGCAAGTTATCACCCTTTTACTAGTAAATTTACCTTTAAAGTCCCCGTGAAATCAAAATTGAACCTATTTACTTTGTTAGCGCATATTACTAGTCTTGTGGTGAACAATTACTCCGTGCAAGTAAAAATATATTTAAAAAATGTTTTACCTTGGTAATCTTTAATCAAAATCTGAAAAGTTCCTTCCGGTCTGGAACGGTTTCTTTTTCTGATGACGTAGGTTTCACAACTTGGGTGGGGAAACGCTTAACCACTCCCCTCAAACCGTTAGTTTGCTATGAGCGAGAGATGGAGAGGAGGAGCGCTAGAGTAAAACCCTGCCCTCTGTTCAATATTCCGTTTCACTTGGAAATACGTCACAGCACTGGAGAAAAATCGTTTGCAACTTCCGGTTCATGGGGACTTTAAAAGTAAATTTGAAGCATAGCTACAACAAAATATTGAATCATTTTTGCTCCAAAAAAACACAGTTTTATAATAGACATTTTGATATCCACCCATATATTTCAATGAATAAATTGTATAAACTTTAAACAACTTTTATTTTTTGAAAAATACTCCTGTACTGAAAGCACCGTTCAACCTTTCAGTTAAAATACATCTTCATTGCATGGATGGCTCGTGTCTGAATGAATGTATGTCAGTGTGGTTCACTTGTTTACAGTGGCTACAGCAGAAAAATAATATCTAGGCTAAATTGACATTTTAGTTTTTAAGCGGAAATAATTCACAAAACGACTCATTTAAGAGTTTTTTGACCTTTGAACGTTTGACTCAAAACCTTAAAAGTTCCTGAGGCATAACCATTTGTAACAACTTCCCTAAAAGTGACAACCAACCAACCCCGAAGGCTAACAGCATCGGTAACTAGCGTTCGGTATTACACTCACCTGACCTAGTGCTCATAGCCGACAGCGATCACTCTTCCTTCCTAAACCTCCTCATGCAAACAAGCTCATGGCGTCAGCTGTATCGACGTGTGGATATTCAACATGATACTAATAAAGTTTGGCTGAAAAAATGAATGGTTTCCCGTAATAATGACAGACTGGCCCTCCCACTACCGCTGTGCTCGGTGTAGTTGCGCCCACAAACATCTGCTCATTGAGCAGAGCAGGTATAGTAACTACCTAGAAAATACATATTTATTTATTCTGCTTCGAGTTCATGGCAGGTTGACGCCATATTGAAAGTAATTAAAAATCTGGAAAGATGATTAATTATTGATCTGACAGATTACTTTAAATTTAATTTGGTAGGCTATTTGAGTTAACTAGAAATGACAATTTTTGGTAGGCCTATATAGTAGAATAATTGAAGATATAAAGTATATTGAATATTTTTATTTCAGGGAAATGTTATATTCATAAATATATGTACCTTAAAAACAAAGCCATTGTTTTCTGTTTTTCAAAAAAAAAAATCTTTAATAGACTTTGAGTTAAAAAAAAATAGAAAAACGATATCAAAAGATATCTAGCTGTCGTTTTTGTGCAGTTGTGCTGTTCTTTGGATCCCTTTTTGGATTTTATTACCTTGTCTTATTTGTGTTTTTAGCGAACTTTTTTTTATGTTGTTCAAAATGCAAATTTTGAAAATGAAGATTTGACCTGTTGGGATGGTTTTCGTGGGAAATAAATTACGTTGCATGTGCTTGTCTCCTCATATAGTTGCTCCATATGTGTGGAAGTGGCATATGATTTGCACTTGCCAGAAAAGTTTGACATTACACAGGGTAAATCTCGAAACTCATGGAAATCACACGGGAGAGTCAAGGCAAAATGAGAACAAGACACTGATCCATAGAAACTTATTTCATTATTTAATTTATATAGATCATGGAAAGTGACAGAGCTCCTGATTTAAAATGTAAAAGCGACGAGGAGATGGCTTTTTATCAGTTTTTTTAATACGTTTTTATTACTAAACCTTTGAGTAAGGTGTTTTTTTATCAGATAAATTTCCATGCAATAGGTGTGTTCGACTTGAAGTGGCTCAGCAATCGCTGTAGGCCTATGACAGCGCTGCTTCAAGTCCAAACACACCAAATATCATGAAGGGTCATATTCATTCCCACAGTCATGCAGAGCCTAACCACAACCAAAACAATGTTCTTCCCCAAAATACACAGTTTTGTTATATAGTGTAGCTTAAATGCAAATATTATTTGAAGATATTTAATTTTTTATTGTGTAATCATTTGTGTATATATATATATTTGCCTCTACGTTTGTTTCACAAATCCCTAATTTGTTGTCCAATTCGAACCCAAGTTAATTATTAGTGAATTGAGTATGTGCAACACTATTATTTTTATTTGTGAGCATGTGTGTGATCTGTTGTTTGAATGATATGTTTGTGAGAGTGGTTGCTTGACAGCATGTAATCGAAGCCCTTTTATGATTGGAAAATGATGCAATGACACATGACCGGTGGGAAAGATTGTTGACTGTTATGGGGAGGGTGTACAGACAGAATGACATAGTGGGGGTTGTCCTAATTAAACCTGGGCCATGCTTTGAGCTTGTCTGAAGAGCTGTCATCAGGAACGCTTGCATCAGATCTCTGCCCTTTCACCCGACATAACATACTGGATGAATTTGGCTACATTTACACACATTAGCCCACATTTCTATGTACGTTCACACATCTCTAAACAGTCTGTTCATTCAGTCAGAGCGAGAATTACAGGATCTCATGAAGCTGACAGATAAGGAATGATTAAGGAAGGTGATATTTATGTTTTTTTTCTGTCTTTTTCTTGGACGCTTGCTTTCAAGTGGCTTCAGAGCAATGGCTAGTTGTGGAAAATGTGATGTGCTCTTGCCTATTTGTAGGCCTGCTATAAATAGGTTCTTGCTGGCAACACATGCTCTTCTGTGATTGACAATTTTAGTGCTACTGGGACATCAGACTCCAAAGAACAAGCAAAGAAACATGCTAATGGTAAGTTCTTTAAGTGTTATACTGTAATACATTTTTGTCAAGCAATTTAAAGTTAGTCGGTACGCGTGTTGGTTGAAACCAAATTCAAATGTTCGTGTTTGACCAAATTAAAAGTAACAAACACCCTTTCCTATTTATAACTACTCTGTGCAAATGGTTTACTTGTTGAGACTAGTTGTCCTCAAAACAGAACAGTTCTGGCTAAACTTTATTTTAAAATTGTCATTTTGTTTTATTAATGTTAGTGTTTGTATTTCTCAATTTGTATTGATTTGTATTTTTTACCCCTTTTCAGTAGTTCTCCAGTTACTTACAAAGTGGAACTTGCATTTTGGTTCCAAAAGCCTGGAGACAAACCTCAAATTTTATTCTACAGAAATATTGAAACCCCACTTAAAGAGGGTTTTTTTTGGACTGTTGAAGTTATTTGTTTTGGACAATGACATCCAGGAGGCCCATGATCCGCTCTTACTCTGGAAATGGGAGATCGGGAAGCCAAAATGGGGAGGATGTTTCATCGGCAAACGGAAGGTCAGAGAGCCGCAACTACCTCTCCAACGTTAGGCCTGAAAACAGGTAAAAAAATATGAATGTTCAGTATAATTGAGTGTGTTTGTTCTGTCTTATTTGATTATAAAAAATGTTAAAGTCTTAATTAAACCTCCAGTTTAGATGTTAATTTTGCAGTTTATGATGGTTTGCATCACTTGCATCAGACATTATGTGATAACAATATCAATTGTATATTTATTATTATATAATATTAATATGTAATTTGTTTAAGAATGGATTTAATTGGAACATAATTATTGGTTTGTTACAGTTGCCTTTTCATTTTATTCAATAAGATGTCATTTTAGTATACAGTAATTTGAGCGCAATCACAAAATCTGTGTGTCATCAGGTTGAATGGTTTTGATTTTGCTGAAATGCTGACGTAACTGTGGTTACCACATTGGTTTTATTGTGTTTGCTCAACTACGGCTATGCCAAAAGAGACCACAACATTCTCATCATTAGCAACAGAATTTACTGTATGACTGCATTACAGTTGCTCCTGGCTTAATCAGTGTCACACAGTGAAAGTCCTTAGTTTAGATTTTCTTGTCTGATGAGTGTCCCTTTGATTTGCCTCTTTTCTAAATAGCTTTTCAACTCACAGTTATTCAAACTACAGGCCTTCGAGGTAATAAAAGCTTCTCAAAAGGTCAATCCTCTAACTACACTTCAGATAACTATTTCTGTTCCCCAACATGCCCTTTTTTCCTTTGGTTTATTTTACAATCTCAGAAATACCCTATTTGCATTTGATTTGCAGCGTGATTATGACAGTATTGTGCTTGATGTATAAATCTTTCAATCCCCCAAACACCCACCCAAATAACCACAGAATATTGTATATGGAAAAGTGCACTAAAAAATGTTTCAAATGTCATCAGGCTAAAATAATATCCCCTCACCCTGTTAACACCCTGCAGGCTTTCCTCCAGTCGCGTCAATAATACTGATATTAATAATACAATATGTCAATGCTATCTCCCTGCTGAATTATTTATTGATTCATATAGTAAATACCCGCTTTTCGCATATATGATTATTGTTGAGTTGACACACTGTATTTGCCATCCTAGGAGTACATTATGTACCGTCATGGCTCATTTGACTGAAGAAACCCAGCCATGTTTTGAAACCACCATAAAATCAAAGGCAGTGTCAGAAACGTGCAATGTCAAATTCTCTTGTGTGGTCACGGGTAAGTTTTTTACTTATGATTATGAAATACCTATTTTAAAGACATTTCAATATAATCTTATTTTATGTCTGAGTGTTTCTCAAAAAAATTCTTTATACATTTATAATATATTTTCTGGGTTAAATGCATGTTATTTTAATGAATAAGACCAAAACTCCTTCTTTTGGCACACATTTCCACCAGGTTACCCGGCTCCTGAGCTGACCTGGTACAAAGATGACATGGAGTTAGATCGATATTGTGGCCTTCCCAAATATGAGATATTTCGCAATGAAAAAATTCACACACTTCAAATCTACAAGTATGTTACTTGATTTAGAAATTCATAAATTTTCTACACATTTCTAGCTCCTTTTGTTTCAAAACATTGTATGACATTACACTCTAAAAATTGCTGGGTTGTTTTAACCCAACTTTGGGTCAAATATGGACTAACCCAGTCATTGGGTTAAATTTTTATTAGTACATTTTTAACCCAACGTTTGGATCAGCCCAAAAAGTCATATAACTGACGTTTTGGGACGTCTTTTGACCATACGTCAATATTCGCCGTTTTAGGGCCCCCTTAAATGTCGGTAGATGAGGTTATGGGATCCTAACTCTACCCCAGACATAAACCTAACCCTAAACCTAACCCGTCACCTAACTGACGTTAAAGGTAAAGCGTCAGTTGTATGACGTCCCGGGATCGCCATCTAGCGACGTTTAAGGGGGCCCTAAAAAGGCGAATATTGACGTATGGTCAAAATACGTCCCAAAAAGTCAGTTATATGACTTTTTGGGATGAGAATGTGTTGTTTGGATTTCTCTATATTTGACCCAAAGTTGGCTTAAAACAACCCAGCATTTTTAGAGTGTACACCAAAATCAATGCTTTGATTGTTTTAGTGGTGACTACACAATGACTAACTACATTTGCTTTCGTTTGGCAGCTGTACAGAAGAAGATGCAGCCATTTATCAGGCCTCGGCGAGGAACAGTAAGGGCATCGTCTCCTGTTCCGGGGTACTGGAGGTGGGTACCATGAGCGAGTACATGATCCACCAAAGGTTCTTCGCCAAACTGAAACAGAAGGCTGAGATCAAGCGGCGAGAACTGGACGAGAGTCGACGTCGGGGTAAAGAGAACATCCAGAAGGAACAATTACATGTGAGTAACCAGGAACGCTTACTAAGGAAGTCAAGGACTCCTGCTGGGAACGAAGCCCTGAGCTCCTCTCCCACAACCCAGGATGGAGAGGAGAACGTGGCCTCCCAAGGGATGGAAGAACAGCAACCTGCACTCCCAGATGATAAGTCTGATCACATTAAGGGGCAGGCATCTGTAGGAGCCACAGAGATGAAAGTGGAGGATGGTAATGAGAACCTCAACCGTATCTGCGATCCAATGGAGGTGGTCACCACGAAGCAGTCCACCAAAGAGAAACCGGATGAAAAGAAGCAGCGTATTACCAATGGATTTGATGAGGTGGGTAGTATTAATCACACCCAGAGCAACAGAAAACAAGAGGATCCTCATGAATCCTCAGGAATGAGCCTGGCAAAATACTTATCTGAGTCTGTGAAGTCACAGGCTGCTGAGGAACGTCAGAGTCCTGAGATCATGGACGTCAATGTCAGTCCTGTCCAAGGAGAAAAAGACCTTGAGAAGGAACGAGAAAGATTAAAAGAAGAGGAGAGGGACCGATCAAGAGAAATAGAGCGGGAGAAAGAGCGAGAGAGAGCCAAAGAAAGAAAACGAGAGAAAATTAGGCAAACAGAACATGAACAAAGAGCTGCAACCAAAGCCGCATCACACAAAGAGCCAGAACCTCAACACAAGTCGGCTCTAACCTCGGTTCTTCACTCGTTAAAGGACATGTTCTTCGGCAAAAGCAAGAAGTCCACAGAGAAAGCAGAAACCACATGGAGAGCTAGTGATGTGATTGTGAACATCACTCCCTCACAAACACCTCCTCAGGAGGTAACCTTCGAACAGGAGACACCAAAGCTGGTCCAGGAATCATCTCAAACGACGGACTTGGAGTCTTTGCAACAAACGCAAGATTCAACCGCCCCTAATAATGTCATAGACTCTAATTCAGCTGAATTCCATGCAAACAAACCCGAGGATGTGTCTCCCACTCCTGAAAGACATCTTGAGAGCATTGGAGCAACACTTAGACTTTCTGTGGAGGAGCAGAAGGAGATGCCAAAAGAGGAGAGCAGTCCAGAGGACGTCCTGCAGATTTCACATTCTCTGCTTTTCAAGGTGAGTTCATCGCACTTCTCACTTTACAACCTGCTGGTTTTGTCCATCTAGTGCCGGGCTTTCTGCACTACAGCACATGGGAGCTATTTATAGATGGTACATTTGTGCAGCAAGACTTGAGTTTAATTACACCAGTCCATGACCAAGACGATGACACAAACTATACCCAAGAGAACACAGAGGTTGTTTGATCTTTGACTTTATCGTGTAGGATTCAGGGAGTCAACAATGTTCTTATATAGACTATTTTCTGAGTAAAACTGTGAACACAGTGTTCGGGATATAGGAAAGAAGGTGGGGACTGAAGTCTGAGAGCATGCAGACTGCAGTAGTGGTAATGCTTTTCTACAATAATATATTATCAGAATAACAGTTGAAGAGAAAAGTCCCCGCCACCCCCACCCCTGGAGTTTTGGGTGGATATGATTTTTTTTTTAATGTTTTTGAAAGAAGTTTCTCATGCTCACCAATAAAAATACTGTAAAAAAGTAATAGTATGAAATATTATTGGGTTACACTTTACAATAAGGTCTCATTTGTTAACATTAGTTAATGTAGTAAATAAAAATGAACATAACCATTGAGCAATATATTTGTTACAGTATTTATTAATCTTTGTTCATTTCAGTTACTAAAAAACATTGTTTATGTTAGTTCACAGACAGTGCATTAACTAATGTTAACAAATACATTTGATTTCCATATATTAGTAAATGTTGAAATTATCCTTGACTAAAATTAATAAAGGCTCTTGTTTATTCTTAGTTCATGATAACTAATAAAACCTTATTGTAAAGTGTTACTTATTATTGCCAAAATAAATTATAATAATAATATATATATAAATGTAAATTTATTTCTGTCATGCAAATCTGAATTTTCTGCATCAATGCAGTCTTCAGTGTCACATGATCCTTCAGAAATAATTCTAATATGCTGATTTGGTGCTCAAAAATACTTTTTCAGGATTCTTTGATGAATAGAAAGTTTTTAAAAAAAACAGCATTTGTTTGAAATATTAATCTTTTTGTAAGAATGTTTCTTTACTGTCACTTGTGATCAATTATCAATTTGATGGATCCAATTGGGGAAAAAATTCTGACCCCACATTTCTGAGCAGTATTGTATAAACTCAAACACAACTCGCATGGAAATATTTATCTGTGCTCTGCTTTTGTCTCATTTGTGGTTCTCCTACTTTGAATAAGACCCGCTGTCTCCTTAAAAGTGAGCATGAGTCAACTGCCTGGATTTCAGCTTATCTGGAATAGTTTGAAAGTGGGTTTGCATGCATCAGCAACACTTAAGAACAACACAAATCATATTCACTCATTAGGACCAACTAGTATTCTTAAAGTCAACATAAAATGGCATTAACTTCTTTAATGTGATACTTCCAAAAAGAAAATGTGAGGTAGAACTTTATTTCTCCCTATACTTGAAAAGAAAGGCATTACATTTCAGACATGAAATCATGCATGCATTAAGAAAGTAAACAGGGTCCATGCCATATTCATGTTGACTTTAAATGGGCGTGTTTTAATGTTAGTAGAGGTCATGACATGAGGAATGACAGTTGCTGGACACTACAAGAAGACAAAACCTCTTTACATTTTCTAGATTCCTTGGTTCCCTGTGTCTTAAAATAAACCTGTTTCTAATCTGTGCTCAGAGAAGCCATACCATACAAAAAGCAATTGTCTGTTAAACACTTATAGCTACGTTATGTCAGAGAAACCAAAGTCAGCTGACAGTTCTGTTCTTTGGAAAAGGGATTCTTTACCACTGCTCAAATTTTCCACTTGCATGTAAAACCTACGTATATCTTTGTGTGTAATTGAAACCCAAGATGGCTATTATTAATTTTGGTTTAAGATTTTAGTTGTGTTGCATTACGGACATGTTTACATAGAAGTATAAAGTTAGTCAAGCTTCTTTCTTGGCAAGTTTGTCAGAGTCACATGATTTCTAAAATGGCGTGTCTGAAGATTACAGAGAAATGAGGCTGTTAGAAAGGCATGAGGAACCACAGTGATTGCATCATCGCTTCAAACCTGACACGGCTAAATGCTAATAACGTTTCACATTTGTTAGTCAACAAGGTGAATGTCACCTTTAATTCATTGACGTGCTCTACAATCTCAGACAGGACCAGCATGTGATAGCTTTGCACCTGGCATGTGACACATTCAGCTGTTTTATTTATGTAAAGTGGAAGTGCAACAACCCTAGCATCTCGTGGGAAGTTAATGTTAGTTGTTGTGGTGTGTCTGTCAGTTAGAGGAACCTTGCACATAAATTTGGATCCCTGTGTGTTGAATCACAACAGAGGAACTTCTGTTAAAAGAAAGTTGTCATAGGCGCGGCTTTTAAAAGTGATAAGCTACTTCTGTCACTACTGAAATTTGAGTCTTTTTTTTCCACACAGTTAAACGTAGTAGTCATGTACATTGTAATTGTGAACAATTCATCTGTTTTAATGTCATAATTGGATCGCATCTCAAAATCAACAACCAACGAATAGAACCAAGTCCCCGCCCTACATTTTTTCTTTTCCGATAATCCACTTGGATATACATAACAATGTGAAAGATCTGTCGCTACTTCCGTTTCATTGTGGTATTAGGGCTTTACCTAGGCTTACAGAAACAACTTTTAATACTAAATTAGCAGATGGGCACAGAAAAAAAAAAACATTCAAGCAGTTGTAGTGGTAACTTTTGGTACCAAATGGAATCGCAATCTGTTTGTTTGCACTGGGTCGGACATAACAACATTGGTTCAACCAACGGTGTGAATTTGGAGGTGGGGCTACCTGTCTGTCTTATCAACTTTGGCTTTTCTGTTTAAAAAATTACACAATTCACCTTTTAAGAGCTGTTGTAGGCCCATATTCTTACGGTACATATCACTTACCACAAGAAAACAAAGGAATTGTAGGAAAAAAATCTAGACTAGAATGTTATGCATTGTATTTATAAATTTAAAACATGGGCATTGTTAATTTTGTAAAATTATATACTTAAAATGTATTGATAAGTGTGTTTTTTAAAGTCATTGCTAATGTGGTTTGATGGTGTAAGTCATATCAAATGTCACAGTTGTCAAGTTGACCTGACAGGTCATAAATAAATATTATGTTGTTTTTCCTTCTAGTACATGGAAAGTTGCACAAGATTGGTGGTACAAATGTATATATCATTTCAAATAGGCTATAACAGCTCAAAAAAACAAGTGAACAAACAAACGGACAATAAATAGTTTAGGTGTGTCCTTATTGAATATATATATATATATATATATATATATATATATTATCAAAAACATTGTTGTTGTTATGTATTGTTTATATTGATTGAAATTAAGCTTTTAAAAAAACATCTGCCTCAGCCATTGATTGCATGATTTTAGAAGAATACTATAACAATACATACGAGTGATCATAAGAGTGATCAGTTCCTCTTATTTTTTATTTTTTCATTACTATCCCATAATAAATCATATGCCATATACACCCGGTTTCACAGAAAAGGCCTAAGCTTAGTCTCAGACTAAAATGCATGTTTGAGCTGTTTTAACTGAAAGCAACATGCACTGAGATAATTTAAAATACACTCACCTAAAGGATAATTGGGAACACCATACTAATACTGTGTTTGACCCCCTTTCGCCTTCAGAACTGCCTTAATTCTCCATAGCATTGATTCAACAAGGTGCTGAAAGCATTCTTTGGAGATGTTGGCCCATATTGATAGGATAGCATGTTGCAGTTGATGGAGATTTATGGGATGCACATCCAGGGCACGAAGCTTCCGTTCCACCACATCCCAAAGATACTCTATTGGGTTGAGATCTGGTGACTGTGGGGGGGTACAGCATTTTAGTACAGTGAACTCATTGTCATGTTCAAGAAACCAATTTGAAATGATTCAAACTTTGTGACATGGTGCATGATCCTGGATAATAATGATAATAATAATAATTCATTACATTTATTTAGCGCTTTTCTCGGCACTCAAAGCGTTTCACATAGAAGGGGGAATCTCCTCAACCACCACCAATGTGCAGCATCCACCACCATAGTGTCCCCATTACTGTACTGGGGCATTAGGACCCAGGCAGACCACAGGGTGAGCACCAACTGCTGTCTTCACTAACACCTCTTCCAGCAGCAACCTGGTTTTCTCAGAAGGTCTGGGTACATGGTGGTCATAAATGGATGGACATAGTCAGAAACAATGCTCAGGTGGGCCATGGCATTTAAACAATGTCCAATTGGCACTAAGGGGCCTAAAGTGTGCCAAGAAAACATCCCCCACACCATTACACCTCCACCAGCAGCCTGCACAGTGGTAACAAGGCATGATGGATCCATGTTCTCATTCTGTTTACGCCAAATTCTGACTCTACCATCTGAATGTCTCAACAGAAATCGAGACTCATCAGACCAGGCAACATTTTTCCAGTCTTCAACTGTCCAATTTTGGCGAGCTCTTGCAAAATGTAGTCTCTTTTTCCTATTTGTAGTGGAGATGAGTGGTACCCGGTGGGGTCTTCTGCTGTTGTAGCCCATCCGCCTCAAGGTTGTGTGTGTTGTGGCTTCACAAATGCTTTGCTGCATACCTCGGTTGTAATGAGAGGTTATTTCAGTCAAAGTTGCTCGTCTATCAGCTTGGATCAGTCAGCCCATTCTCCTCCGACCTTTAGCATCAACAAGGCATTTTCGCCCCCAGGACTGCCACATACTGGATGTTTTTCCCTTTTCACACCATTCTTTGTAAACCCTAGAAATGGTTGTGCGTGAAACTCCCAGTAACTGAGCGGATTGTGAAATATTCAGACCGGCATGTCTAGCACTAACCATGCCATGCTCAAAATGGCTTAAATCACCTTTCTTTCCCATTCTGACATTCAGTTTGGAGTTCAGGAGATCGTCTTGACCAGGACCACACCCCTAAATGCATTGAAGCAACTGCCATGTGATTGTTTGATTAGATAATTGCATAAATGAGAAATTGAACAGGTGTTCCTAATAATCCTTTAGGTGAGTGTATGTCAGTGTCAGTGTTTTGTCTTAAGATGCACACTAGTAATGTTTTTTTAAAAGCAACATTCATAAAAGCAACTTAAATGTCCTAATTGAACTAAGGTCTAAACCTGGCTTAATCTAAACCCTGTCTGTGAAACCAGGCAATAAAGTTATAATGCATTCCACGAGGACAAATTAAAACAGTACAATCACTGAAGTGCATAAAGTGTTACAAGGCAAACATGTTAAATATTTAACAAGCAACCATTTATGTCTCAAGGCTACAGATGACCATACTAAACCCAGTGCCACTGATGTTCCTGCCAATGTGGACTTGTCCAATCCTCCAAATCAGATGGAAAAGCTGGAATGTACCTATCTTGTGGATGAGGTCAAGGGAGGTGCTGAGGAAATGCCTATTTTGGAGGAACAGGGGGGCTCTCCTGCCCCCCTGACAGAACTCATCATAGCAGACCTGGAAAGCACGCAGTGTTGTGAGAGCCAGCCAGAGTCTCAGATTTCACAGCTTGCCGACTTTATCCCTACCCATATGCACACTGAGTCCCAGTCAGCGGAGCTGGGGGGAGAAGAGAGCAAAGAGCCCTGTGAGTCAAATGAGAAAGTAATTCCTCAAATGGAGGAGGAAAGTAATATAAAAACGCTAGAGGGAGGTTCACTGACAGAGAAAAATAAAGAGGAGATGGATGGTGCAAAAGAACGGAAATCTTTCTCAGCAGGGGAAAAAGAGTCGGAGAGTGACTTTGTCATAAAAGAGTCAGTTCTTCCTGTAGTTGTAGTGAGTGAAAGACAATTTGAAATGAATGATCAAATCTCATTGTCCCCAGCATCGGATCTAAGTCAAGAAGGGGATTCTGTCGCTGTCATATCTAAGAGTGCAATGGAAATTGATTTTATTCCAAATGAAAAATCTATACCAGCACTAAATGTTAGTTTCACAGATAATAAAGAAGTTGCAGCTGACTCTGTTACAGCAAATGACTTTAAAATGAAGGAAGATAAGAATGATAAAAGCATTCCAAGTCAGAGCAAGAGTGCTGAAGACAAGGGAAAATATAGTGGTGAAGATAAGATAGAGAAGAAAGAGAGGGAGGATAAGGAAAAAAGCAATGTTAATGCTGAAAAACTGAAGGCTGATTCCATTCAACCAAAGAAGGAGGATGTTAAGCAAAACAAGAATGTTGTTCCAGAGACAGAAGCATCTATTGTGACTCCAGAGATGGAGATGCCCAAAAGTCCAAGACGAGGTGAGACTGAGGTTACGGAAACTCAATCGAGGCCATACAAAGTAGATAAACCAAAACTCCTAACAAAAACACATGCCGAGAAACGATTATCAGAGAAGGACCAATCAGCAGTCCAACCAATTATAATACTCCCAGATACAAGAGAAACCGTTATCAAAAACGTGGCAAAGAAGAGATCCATGCCACTAATCCCAGAGATCAAGGTCACATTGCCAGACAGAGTCAAACGTGAAGAACCTGTCATTGTGCCTAGAAGTGAAATGCTGAAATTAGACCGTGAGAGAGTTATGCAACCTTTAACACAAGAGGTTGCACAGATATTTCGAGATGATGCAACAAGAGCATCAGGTGAATCAGCTTCCAGTGCCTTGGTTATTCCAGACCATTTGGGCGGGACAAGGAACACTCCATCATCACCCTTCGGGGAGAGAACACAGGAAGTTAAACCACAAAATCTAGATGCAAGAGTTAGAGGTGGAGAAGAACAAGGTAGTAACAACACTGGGCGGGGCAGGGAAGATGATAAGACTATCCCTATAATCAACATAGCATGTGCTGATGATAACGCAACCCATCTTAAACAAGAGCAAACTCACTCAAAGCCCTCACTTCCTGGTATAGTAATCTCACAAGATATGACTCAAGATATTCCCCCCATTTCTGTCACAAATGCAGAAAGACATATCGAGACTTTATTTACACTGCTGAAGACTGAAAGCGACCAACATGATCCTGCTCCTACTTCTGAGAAGTCAAGAGAGCAGCTCATGTCCCAACTGAGTCCTGATATGTCTACAAAAACTCCTCCTGGTATTACTAACCAAGACCCAGACAGAGTTCCTCAACCAAAAGACACAAGAGTAGAGCCTGAAGCTGACAGGCTTCAAAGGGACAAACCTTCCATCGAGAAACTTAGCCTAACAGCCCCTGTGGGACCTACACTCCCTCCGCTAAGTCCTGCCAGTTTGCGAAGGCTTATGGCAAAGAATAATCCAAACTTAGAGAATCAGGGGTCTGCCTCAGCTGCATCAGTAGATGGAAGTGAGAAGAGAGGAGAAGAGAGTGGAGGAAGCACACCCACATCCACTCTATCTTGTGAGAGTAGCCCCAAGATGAAGCGACGAGACAGTCTCACCCTAATACCCTCTGCCACCCCTGAGGAGCTGGCTTCTGGTGCTCGCCGCAAAATCTACCTCGCCAAAACCAAGTCTGAGGATGAGGGATCTGACACGCAGGGTAAGAGGGATAGTCCTTACATGTCGCCCAGTCAGGCTCGCAGGGCAGCTTTCCTGCAACTTCAGAGTGGTCAGCAAACACCTCCCACAGAAAGACGTTCACCATTGCTGGCCCGCCGCAAGGCCACACTGGAGGTGCCAAAACCTAAGGAGGAGATTGCGGAGGTGGCGGACAGCACAAAGACAGAAAGCAAACCTGCAGAAAAGGACAAGTTGGACCCATTCAAAGGTAGCACATGTGTGTTCTTACAGTGGTTGACTGTTCACAGATATCAATGTTTAGTTCAGTTTATTCTGCAGGAACCTACTGAAATTGTTCATATCCATATCATCCATCGAAAAGGTTGTCAGATCTGTGCAAGGAAGAACTAACTCTTCTGTTAGCGCTGTTAACATTTCATGCAATCTTTACTGACCAATACTGATAATCAGGGCTTGACATTAACTTTTTTCCTCACCAGCCACTGTGACTTGTGGTATTCCAAAGTAACTGGCATCTCAGCATTTTCACTGGCCATAATTTTGACATCGATACCATGGGGATATTTTTAATACTATCTCATGATTTGGCAGCAGTTATATTAGGCTGCTGTAACTATAAGACCTGAAATATGGATTATACCATTACACATGTTTTCTTTCTCAACTGTTTACGTTCACTTACTGACTGTGTTTACGTGAATACTCAACAAGATTAGCATTTTGACATTATTTTGTGTGTATTTGACTGTTTAAGCGCGATTAGCAGCGAAAAAGAACTCAATTTAGTACTAAGAGGCGGCTTTATGTGCGGGCACTTTGGGTGTGAGCACAAAATCTGTGGGAATGAGTAAAATTATGCGGAATACCAGCAGTCCCACGCCAAAATTAAAGCCCTGTAACATCAACGATATTCAATCGGACTGAGTGAGGGGAGGCGGGTTTGTGTGTCAACTTGCTGTCAGAGAGAGAAAGCGGAGCTGGTATTGTCTATCTATTCTGCAGAAAATTTGTATTGGAAGAGTTTCAGATATTTTAGTATCGATGTATCGAAAAATCTATATTTTTGAAAGTACTACATTGTACTTAGTTTATTGTTTTAGATGCCTTTTTAAAAGACTACAATTGAAAAATGTATACCGCCAACATGTCAACGTTCACACGCCATTGCTGAAATCCATCCGCATTTGGCTGGTTGGTGGGTGTTAATGTCAAGCCCTGCTGATAATCTATATGCCAGAGAGGTGCCAGGTTCAAATTCCGGACAAGCCCCCAATTTATTTTACGACTCTACTGTGGGACCAAAAGCGATTCAAATATTAGTACCTGAATGCATGACAAAATGTTTATTTTTAGATGTAGGCTACAGTATTCTGGTTTTTCTCCTGCTTTCTAGGCAGCAAGTGTTCTAATTTTACACTGTTCAGACGTTATCTTGTTTACACTAAGACATAGAGGGACGTTTGATATGGGAAGAGTCAAAACTAGAGAGTGCATATCTTTACCTTGTTACCCCTGATCCTCTTTCCATTCAGCTCCTCAGGTTATCCGCAAGATTAGGGGAGAACCCTTCTCAGATGCCTCCGGCCACTTGAAGCTCTGGTGCCAGTTTTTTAACATTCTTAGTGATTCCACCATCAAGTGGTACAGAGACGAAGAGGAGATTTTGGAGATCGAAAGACGGTAAATTCCTCTGGTCATTCAACACAGTCTAAAATTTTCAATTAATCCTAAAACAACAGGGAAAAGGACAAGGAAAAGTAAAACGTTACTGTGTTAATCATCAGATTAGCTAGATGGAAAAATGCCTCTACAGTAAAAAAAAATGTTTCTGTTAAAGACCTTTCAGGCATTTTTCTACATATCTGAGCAAAGTACCGAAATGTTGCAAGAAAGATCTAACAAAGATTCACAAGTTATGACATTGTCCGTCATCTACATTTTTGTTTGTGCTACTGTATGAGGCATTTAATGCAGTGAACCTGCATGTATTTGTTTAAAGTTATTACCAATATTGTCATCTGCTTTGTAGAGAGTTGTCATCCACTCAATTGTATTTGTCCATGAACCCTACAGCTGTGATTAGTGAGGCCCAGTCAGACAGAGAGTGTGTAACCCAACACTGCTCAATTGCACCATCAGGGGATATTAAAAATCTAAATTTGTTTCTCACAGTGCTGTATCAGCACAATGATGCAGTAGCTACTCGCACGCAAACACCCTCAAATGCATCAACTGTGCCAGTGTTTGTAACACTGCCCTCGTGTGGCTGTAAGTTTGTAGCACTTTTCATTAATAGGATATACTGTATACTGCTTTCAAGTCCTCCTGGGAAGAAGTAGCCTACGTGTTTACGAGTTGAGAATTTGTGTTTACGACATTAGGGCCGATCAAGCTCTTTCGACGGAGCAAGATGGCGGTGTAAGCTATCTTCTTTTAATTAACTACACAAGGTTTTTAAACTCTACTTCTAGAAAATGAGGAACAAGGAATTTACATCAGGTGTGTTTTGATTTTCAAACGGTAAACTTTATTGTAACAACTAATATTGTTATATTGCAATGCTATTATAATTTGTGCAGGGAATTAGCTTATTTTGTTGTAAATAAAAAATCCTGACGTTGTCACTGCTAAATAAAATACCTAATATGAATATTGTCGTATTATGGCCCAACCATAGACTGTAAAAAATAGGGCCCCCAATTCGTAAAGATTGGTGCTGCTACCTTCACGTGCTGTAGAAAATCTTTATATATATATATATATATATATATAATCTAATAAAGAATACCACTCACAGCAGTATGGACGTTTGTTTTCATCAATAAATAAAAAATATAAAAGTGAATGTGAATCTCGGAATTCTGAATTTTTTCCTTGAAATAGTGTATTTACATCTCACAGTTCTGACTTTTTTCTCAGAATTGTGAGACATAAACTCCCAATTGTGAGTTATAAAGACAGAATTGAGAATTCTGAGAAAAGAAATAAAGAAGTGAGTTAAAAAGTTGCAATGATCTTTTAAATTATTTCATCCTGTGGCGAAAACATGCTATACTGAAGCAATCGTTCTTCCCTCTGCCATGTTTAAAGTTTATGACCCACCCAACTCTGGAACTTGGGTTTCAAAAATATCCCTGAACTTCCCAGTGGTAAATACGACTTGAGGGAGTGTTCATGTCCAACTTTTAACTAGGAAACTTGTATATTACGATATAAAAAATCATGTAAATACTTTTACAAAAAAAAAAAAAAAAACCCTGAGCTTCTCACTCGTATTTACAAATGTGTGTGCGTCCAACTCATAAAAACAATCTTTTCAACATACTTGAATGCGGCAGTATATATTCTATTAGTTATTATGGGGAATTTTAATTGTTACAACCCAAAATTGCAATGGGTGACATTTGATGTGTACTTTTTTGATGTGTACACTACTTTGCTTTTTATATTAAAGTTAATATAACTCTCTCTCTTTCTCAGTGCTGGGGATGAGGGTCCAGTGGCACTGGCCATAGTCCAGGCTTCCAGCAGAGACTGTGGAGTGTACGGTTGCTCAATCAAGAATGAATATGGGACAGACATCACTGATTACTTACTCAGCGCAGACAGTAATTTATAACTTTTTTGGTCCATTAATAGACAGAAATCTGCAAAACATCTGTTGAATTATTTTTTTCATATGTTATGTTTACCTTTACTCTGTTTCCCTTTGGGCAGTACTGGCAGAATTCCTCTTAAGGGATGATTTAGAAGGTATGACTTCTGAAGGAAATCAAGTGTGTTTATTTCTATGAATTATACTATTGCTATGAATTGCCCAAATTAAGCTTTGTGTTGTTTACCCATCTAAGTATCCAATGCTCTATTTCTGTAATCTCAGTTGGAGAAGAGATTGAGATGACACCAATGATGTTCACCAAAGGCCTGGCAGACTCTGGTTACTGGGGCGAGAAATTCTTTGGTCGCATCATGACGGAAGAGGTGCAGATTGGAGAGGGATGTGTGCACAAGACCTGCAGGGCAAAGGTCATCTATGGTTTGGACCCTGTCTTTGAGTCAGGCACCACGTGCATCACTAAAGTAAGAAATCCCATCGCATATGGGGCCAAGGAGGAGAGCAACCTGATCGAGAGAAATCTAGAAATCACCAGACAGGTTAGAATCTTACTGGATCACACAATTTACATTTATAGTTAATATTGGAACCCAGCGAAAACTATAAAAAGACGCATCATCATCATTTATTCAGCTGTATTTCTTTGTATAGGATATCTGAGAATGCCAGAGCTTCAGGGAAAGTGAGGATTTTTACTTCTAAGCTCCAAAAAGGTCCATAATATCATCATAAAAGTAGTCACGATGTGCTCTATATTATATTATAAAGTCTTGAAGTGACTGGATGAGAACCAATGAGGTTTTCAAATGTTAATAATATTTGAGCGCTGTAATTAGAGGGAATTGTTATCAGTAAAACATTTTTTTAATCATTACCACTCATTACAGCAATTAATATAGCAAAAAAGTCTTGTCCCATTGTTTTTGTATGGTCTTTTTGGAGCTTGTATTATCATTGTATAAGAAAAATAGGCAATCAGATATTCTGTCAGAATGATGGAAAACATTTGTGAATAACAATTACTCTAATTTGAGGGGATGCACAGATTTTTTCCATGTATAAGTTTTTTGTCCTTTTATCCTCAGGATTGTAAAATCCAGAACACCATTCGGGAGTACTGCAAAATATTTGCTGCCGAGGCCAGAGTGATCGAGAACTTTGGATTCTCATTAGAGTACGTCATGGAACACAACATATACACAACATAATATTGTCTCGAATATGTGCAAGGTCCCATTATAGATAACAGTGTCTACGACTAAGAACTCGACTTTAAGCATACTTGATAACTACTATTTTATCTCTGAAGTACTACAAATCTGTCAAAACATTTTGAGGTAATCGGTGATTTATTTTATGAACATTTCACTATGTTCTATGAAGTAATACGTTTCTGTGGAATGCATTTGGTTATTTTATTTATGAGATCTAATTTTATTCTTCGTTGCTCCTCTGAAAAAATCCAGAGTGATCCCCCTTCATCTGATGTATCGACCCGCCAATACAGTTCCATATGCTTCAGTAGAGACTGATCTGAAGGGTGTGTTTTTGAAATACTGCCTGATGGACCGTACAGGGAGACTGATCGCCAGAACCACCTCTGAAGTGGAGCAGAAGTGTTGCGCTTTCCAGCATTGGATCCATCAGTGGACCAATGGAAACATCCTGGTTACCCGTTTAGAAGGTAAAGAGAAATTTACTTCGGTGTATTAAAATATTCCCAATTTTTAAGTCTAAAATGATCCCTTGTGCGTTGCAGGTGTCGATACGAAGATCACAAGCATTGAAATTGTCACTAAGTCTAAAGGGTTGGTATATATTACTATACAAGATTCAAATTTATACCTATTTTTCTTATATTTTTCTAATATTTCCATTCATGCTTGCAGGTATCAGGGCCTGACCGATAAAGGATCTCCAAAGATAATCGAGCAGTTCATTACCCAACATCAGTGCAACTACTACTGTGGATTGTTGAGCCTGAGACCATTAAAGCCAGTGGATTCCCTCCTGCAGCCTAAGATAAAGACCTCCAGGAGCCCTCTACTGGCACGGAGAGGTGTTACAGGCTCATCCAGCCCTCAGCTTCAGAAGAAAGTAAATAGCCCTCTGTCCACCAGGAAAGGCACGTCAAGCCCCAAAGTGGTTAAAAAGACAAGTGAATCCGGGGAGAACAATTCCACTGCCAAACACAAAGCTGTGGAGGTCCCAAAACCTGTCAGGATGAGGTAGAGAGAAGGACTAGAGCTCTTGAAAACACAATGCAAAGCTAAAGCAAACTAGGGGATACTTTTGGGATTTTCTTACCAAACTTTAGTTTGGAGCCTGTATAATTATCGTTAGCTACTGTTGTACAGGACAAACGGCTTCCTATAAATGGATCCTGTCCATTGTCTTTGCACATAGCGTCTAAAATGCAACAACTAAGGAAGAAATGGCTATATAGAAAATATATGAAAAGTGTTTTCTAAAAGTAAATTGATGAATGACCAGAGGTGCTGTGGCCATTTTTAATATTACTGTGAACTGCTTTGCAGCTATAAGTCACCATTTATACCTCCTGAGAGCACCTTCACTTTATTTTTAAGAGATGAATTGAGGCTATCTCCTTTCAAGACTATCACTGGAGATCGATGTAAAACCAGGACCGCCTGTAGACGGATGAACATTGTTTTCAGATAGACTCTGGAACTTTATGATTTATTCAAATGTTCCCATGTCAAGTTTATATGACTGAGGAACCACGAGAGAAGGAGTTTTCTTAAGGATTCCTCAAACATCTGTGATGTATGTGTCTCAGCTGTGTAGAAATGCAGCTCTCTGTTGTTTTTTTTAGTCACCGAGAGGCTTTTTATAGTGGATTGTTCTGCTTTTATGAATATGGCAATAAATATGCAACACCAGTGCACCAATCTTGGTTTTATATGGGCGAACTATTAGCATCATTTTCAGTCCAGATTTGTTTTCATCTCAAATGTGTCTCCTAGAAGAGCGAAAATCATGAACTTTATTGTCACAGTAAAGCCATTTACTACTGACCTTTCAGACTGTGCATGTGTCATATATCTCTAGATCCCTGCAACTTCACACAACCGGGCTAATATTTTTGTGAGCATAAGAGATTTCTTTCAAAAACATTAAAAAGTCTTATCAACTCTAAAAATTAAATGGTATATAGATATATACACACACACACAGCAAACATATTGAAATGTATGTTCATTCAAAATAACGTAAATCAAATGTAGCTGTCTAAACCATTACCCCATTCACAAGAATTAGTAATCAATATTCTGTGGAAATTGCTCATGCTAAACAGCAAGACTGACTCATACATTAAAAACAGTGCTTGTTTAGGTGTAGATAAAGGGTGACCACAGATAGTGGTCAGAAATGATAAGATAGGGTTTATATTGTAGAAACAATGCGAATTGTAGTGTATTAGAGTATTAGAGAGAGCTTAGCAGTATGTTTATAAGGATAAGTATTTTAGGAGTTTTTGTTGTGTTTTGTTATTTATTTTTGTAAAATAAACATGTAAATAGCAGTTGAAATTTCTTTGACTCATTTTACAGTCCAAAGACAGAGTCCAGTGCCTCATATCTTAAAAAAACTGTTTCCCCGACCAAAGAGCCCTATGGCCATTATTGCAGTACAATAACACAGTAGTCACTGCCACGCCTTAATATCTATTGTGGATATATATCACGTCATTGGATGTAACTTCCAAAAATTATTATAACTATTTTGTAAGACAGGACAACACAAACTGAATTAAATGTACAACTTTTACATAAAAACAAACCATAAAAATAAAATACTTACACATACATTGTTCTCAAATACAGTGTTATATCTATAAAGAAATTAGGTTTTAATAGGTAAATGACCAAATATAATCAAATATACTGTGTCCATTAAATGCTGTGTTGTTTCAACCCATGGTTGGGTCAAATATGGACAAACCCAATCGTTGGTTAAAATTTTTATATTAAACCCAAACATGGGTTAAAACAACCCATCATTTTTGTAGAGTGACAGTATATCAATTGAACGTACATTTTAAAATGTGGGAATTGAATAAATAAAGTCATTATATTTAGTTGACATGTGTTTTCTGCATTGTGGTATTGTTACCTCTTGGCCAGACTAAATGCACACAGTTGTCTCATAGAGGTCACAGCAGTTAGCTAAATATATTGTAGCATTTTTCACTCCACTCCAGGACCCCTCAAAAGAAATTGTTCCATTGTTGATAGTGCTGAAAAAAGAAAAAAGAAAAAAAATATTATATCGAAGCCATCAAAGTAAATATTTAAACATTTATATCCAGGGTGCTTTTAGATTACTACAATGCAACACTATTCTCTGTCCTTACCTTTCAAAAAGATCCTTACAGCATTTGTCAAGGTTGGGTACTGTGGTATTGAAGACTGTGTTTTGAAACAGATCCACACAGTCGATTGGAGGGACGAAAAGGATACCTACATGTAGAACAATGATAATGATAATCAATCCCAGATTGTACTAGATCAAAACCACCAGCTGGGGGTGCTTTAGCTTAGTGGTTAAGATGTGTGCTGGTACATTTACATTTAGCTGACGCTTTTATCCAAAAATTGTTAAATATGTCAGAGGTCACACGTCTCTGGAGCAACTAGGGGTTAAGTGTCTTGCTCAGGGACACATTGGTGTCTCACAGTGGACTCGAACCTGGGTCTCTCACACCAAAGGTATGTGTCTTATCCACTGTGCAACACCCCATGGTAACTTAAAAAGGTACCATACTGCTGGAAAAAATGGGCTGTTTAATCAAATTTAGATGCCTATCCAGTAGAAAAGTGGAAATTAAAAGAGTTTTTTTTTCACTTTTAAAAGAAATTAAGGTTTTTGATGAAAACATTCCAGCATTTTTCTCCATATAATGGACTTCACTGGTAACCAAACGATTCAAGATCCAAAAGACAGTTTCAGTGCAAACTGTTCAAAGGGCCTTAAACGATTCCAGACGATGAATAAGGGTCTTATCAAGCGAAACGATTGCTCATTTTTTTAAAAAATAAAAAGTTTAAGTTTTATAAGCTTAAATGCTTGTCTTGCTCTATTCTGTGATGCGCGTTCGTGACTCTCCTGTTCGAACTTGTTTATTAAAATGAACAAATCTTTTTTTCGTGTCATTTGGTTCATTCAACGAACGAAATGAACGAATTGACTCGGAAAAAGATCCGTTCATTTTGATGAACAAGTTTGAACAGGAGAGTCACCAAGGGGGTAATCCATCAGCCGGAAGTTGAAGCTGCCATTGTAGCGGGCTATCACCTGCTGTTAGCATCCCATTGACTCCCATTCATTTTGGCGTCACTTTGACAGCGAATAACTTTACATCTGAGGCGTCCAAAGACTCCATTTATCCATTATTTATTTCTAAAGAAACATGACAATGTATAAAAGGCTCCATTACTTTGTATGTTACGTTATGGCCACTTAGAAGCCGTTCTTGTGAAAATAGGCTAAAAATTGTGTCACAACCACTCGACTGTCCGTCGCACAGTAGAAAAGTTACCGTATAGACAGGAGGAGAAGCTCGCACAGCCTCGCAGGCAATCTTTTACTGTCTAAAGTCAGCCCATGGCATAGAAAGAAACAAAATGACAAAATAATTAAACAGAAAACTTACCAAAAGTTGCTCCAGGTAGCGCTTCGCCGTCTCTGTGCACGATTAAAATTTGTCTTGGCACAGCTACTCAAAGATTTACAACCGTCAGTCAGTTTGCTCCTGCGCAGAATGCTTGGCTATCAGGAAGTGAGTGCCCATGTTGAGCTTCAACTCTCTCCGTTGAAATCAACAGGGTCGCTGTGTCCATTTCTTTTACTGTCTATGAGAGTCACGAACACGCATCACAGAACAAGGCGAGCATTTGAGCTTATAAAACTTTAAAAAAAAATTTTTTTTAAATGAGCGATCGTTTCGCTTGATAAGACCCTTATTCATCGTCTGGAATCATTTAAAGCCCTTTGAACAGTTTGCAGTTTGCACTGAAAGTGTCTTTTGGACCTTGAACTCTTTGGTTCCCACTAAAGTCCATTATATGGAGAAAAACATGGAATGTTTTCAACAAAAACCTTAATTTCTTTTCGACTGAATAAAAGAAAGACATGGACATCTTAAATGACATGGGGGTGAGTAAATTATCAGCAAAAGTTTTTTTTTAATAGTGAACTACTCCTTTAAATTAAAGTGGAGCTACCTGACTACAGAAAACACAGATAAAAGTCTTTATGCCTTTATGTCTTTTCGATTTCATCGAAAAGATCTTCATTTGTGTTCTGGAGATAAACGAAAGTCTTACGGGTTTGGAATGATATGAAGGCGATTTTTGGGTGAACTATCCCTGTGAGCAACTCTTTTGCATCATTGCATAATGACGTCAGTGATACATATTTTCAACGCTATCCCACGACCAATTCGTACGAATTTGTACGAGTGATTAAAAAGTGCCTAATTAATATGAATTCGTATGACCTCTCTTGTAAATTTGTCTAAACCCATGTGATGGGTAGGTTTAGGGGTGGGGTCAGGAGTAGGTCATTCGTACGAATTCATACAAATTGGCCAACTTGTAAAATAAGTACGATTTAGCAGAAAATCGTACTAATTCGTATGAGTGAGGTCATATGAATTCGTACGAATTAGCCACCTCGTAAAATTCGTAAGGATTGCCGTAAGATCGGGCTGGTATTTTGACATTTCTGTGTCATGTAAGCCTTCATTTAAAGTATTTATATCATATCATGTAATCATTAGGTGAACATGCTTCAAAAAAGCATTCTTAAAAAAAAAAAAAAGCAACAGTGAGGAATCAAGATCAGAGTTGATCCCAAAAATGTTGGAATTGAACAGCCCTACCAATTCATAACCCATGCCTGTTGTATTCTTGAGCAAGGCTTCATAGAGACTCTAATGTGTGACGTACAGTAAGTTGCTTTAAATAAAATTATCTGCTAAATGACAACTTCATGGCGTGTGGTGATACATGTGCTGTGATGTTGGTTTGACTAAAGTTATAACACTGATTTTGATAATTAGAGATTGCTTACCAGCAATACAGGCATTGATCAGGGAAACACATGTGCCTGTGAACAAGGCTCTGAGCACTAAAGCAGATATGTCACCCTTCTTTGATGGACAGATAGAAGCTGTGGAATAATAACATTAGATCAGGAAATTGGGTTATTAAAAATGGAAGATGTCACAAGGTACACACTTCATATAAGTGCTTTAAATAGATACTCACACAAGCCTCCAATCACAATACCAAGAGAGCTGAAATTAGCAAAGCCACACAAGGCATAGGTGCAGATGATTTCTGAACGAACCTGCGAACAGCATACTTGTAATGCTTCTGACAAACTTCAGATTACAAATTTGACTGATTATTATGTTTTTTAACAGCATATTTATACACAATTTGAAGAGACATTACATAAATACTTACTGAGAGCACTGTTTCTTCTAAAATGCCATTAAGTCTGTTGTTTTTGTACCCTGCCAGCTTCTCATAGGCTATAAACTCATTGAGGAAGAGTTTAGTGCCAATAAGTTCAGCCACTGTAAAAGACTCGTCGTATGGAATTCCCATCATGAAGGCCACCGGCATAAACACATAGGAGCAGATCAACTGCAGGGTTGAAAATAATGTTAAAACACTTCGCTTTTGAATAGAAATATTTGTAGTGTGATGATAATGACCCTTTCATTTTGATATAACTTTGTACACTGTATAAAAACCATTCAAAAGGTTTTTTTTTAAAGAAATAATTACTTCTATTTAACAAGGATGCATTCATTTGATCAAAAGTGACAGTAAGCAAAAGATTTATATTTCAACTAAATGCTGCTCTTTTGAAGAATCCTTTAAAAATTGCATTTCAGATTGCACAAAAATGTTAGTTTTCAAGTGTTTCTTGAGCAGCAAATCATATTAGAATGATTGGTAACACTTTACTTGAATCGGTGTGCATAAGACATATGTCTTGAATATGAAGTTTATGACAACTGTCATTAAGTGTCTTTTGCTCAATAATGACATTTTAAATGCTAATATGACATTGTTTAAGATGTCTTTGTTATGACAACTTGACATAAACCATAACATCATAACCTGTCAGTGTCTTTGGCATGACAACTTGACATAAAATTAAGTTAAAATGTCATGTGATTGGCTTTGACATTGGCTGTCATGAGGCCATTATAACTGTGTCATGATGAATATTAATTTCTGAAGGATCATGTGACACTGAAGACTGGAGTAAAGATGCCAAAACTTCAGCCATCATAGGAATAAAATAGACTTGAATGCATTTATTTTGAATTCTAATAACATTTGATATATCTGCTTCACTGTATTTTTGATCAAATAAATGCAATGTGCACACTAGGTTTGGGTAATACACACCTCAAAACTGACATCTGGGTATCCCACCATGCCTCCCAACCATTTGAGAGTAGCATTTATGAAGCCCAAAATGGCGAGAAAAGCAATCAGGTTAGCGGCGATGTTGGCCACAAGCCCAATAGATGCAGATGCACCATTGCTGACAGCTTCCAGGACATTCTGCTCACCACTGAGAACAAACAACATGACATTCAATGAAAAACATGTTAACACAAAACATACAGAAACCTAAACTGCATATTTGAGAGGTGAACCCACCCAGTGTCAACTTTAATTTGACTTTTAGATTTGAACTTGCTCTTTTCAGTTTCAGGGTAGGATAGTTTGGAGATGGCTAAAGCACACGGGGCAGCCATCACTGACGCAGAAATCAGAGACGAGGCATCAATCTGTGTGATCCCATAGAGAACATAACATACTACTAATTTAATTCACATTTATTGGTATAGCAGCTTTACAGAAAATGATAATTGGTAAGAACTAAACTCATTCATTTGTAACTAAATCCACATGTTGCTGTACCCCAAATGAGATGAATGCCCCCATAACACTCCCAGCAATGGTGGCAAATCCTCCAGTCATGACAGCGTGAATCTCAGATTTGGTCATGTCCTTCAAATAAGGACGAATCAGGAGGGGCGCCTCTGTCTGAAACACATCAAAACGTCACTTTATCATCGACCCAAATTTGTTTAATTGCCTGACTTTTCAAAGGATCTTCTCCCTTAAAGTGATACTCCACTTTTTTTGGAAATAGGCTCATTTTACCACTCCCCCAGAGATAAAAAGTTGGGTTTTACCGTTTTTGAATGTATTATGCCGATTTTTTTTTGATATTTAGAAGAATATCAGTAACCATACAGTTTCTGGTCTCATTGACGTCCATAATATATTTTTTTCCTTCAATGGAAGTCAATGAGACCAGAAACTGTCTGGTTACTGATATCTCTTCTAAATATCAGAAAATCGACTGAATGGATTCGAAAATGGTAAAACTCAGCTGTTTAACTCTGGGGGAGTGGTAAAATGAGCCTATTTCCAAAAAAAGTGGAGTATCCCTTTAAGAAAAAAAATTAGTGCATTTATATTGTTGCATCTTTATGTATTTAATTTAATTAATTTAAATTTAAAATCATGTGCATTATAAAAAAAAGTTAGAAACGCTGTCACTGGGGCAGTACCCTTTCAGAAGGTACACCTTTGTTCCTTATTTACCCCTTAAGGGTGCATATTAATAACTAAAATAACTATGTAACTAACTAAGTAACAAACTAAGTAACCATCTTAGCAGTGTTGGGGTAACGCATTAGTTAGGAACATGAGTAATCATTAATGGATTCAGATTCAAATGTGTAGAGGTGTTGTGTGTGAACATGATGGTTATTTTAGACCTCGCCTAAATATGATTAAATAATATTTTTTTGTTATAGCCCAGCCCAGGTGAGAAAAAGTATCACAAAATGCATTACTTTCCATATAAAGTACCTAACACAATTAGTTACTTTTTTAAGGAGTAATGCAATATTGTAACATACCTTTAAGGGTAACTTTCCCTAACACTGCATATTATTACCTAAAGTGTACATATTAGTACCTTTTGAAAGGGGACTGCCCCGGTGAAAGCTTTTCTGAGAGTGAATGATGACATGAAATGAAATATTACCTGGCCAACGAAAATGTTCCCTGCCACACTGAGAGTCTCTGTAGAGGAGGTTCCCATTGTTAACTGCATTACCCAGGAAATCTTGACACAGAATGATACAGCCATATGAAGTACATATTCTAAAGGTCTCACGGGTTGAATCGATACAAAACTGGACTGAGTCACTTTTACCTTTGTGATGACCCACTGCATCACCCCCAAGTAGTAGAGCACGGACATTACACTGCTGAAGAACACCACTATAGGCAGAGCCTGCGAGTAATCAGCAACATTCAGTAGTAGAAATAAACCCATCCATGCATTTCATGCCAAGTATGTGTCATTACTAACCTGGAAAGCAAATACGTTTTCAATGAGGTCCTCTCCAAACACAAATCCTGAACCGGCTTTTGTGTAGTCCAGAAATATCTGCAAAAAGAAAGTGCAAAATGATTTAGACCAGGGAATGTTTTGTTGTTGTTGTTGTTTTTCCTTCTCTCGTGCAGTTTAAAGCTACACTGTGTGTTTTTTACCCCCATCTAGTGGTGAAAAGGTATATGACCATCCAGTGAACATTAGTTTCTGTTCCTCTCAATTCCGATTTCGTTTTAACTCCTACGGTGGCCAATGTAGTCCAAGATTAACATGGCTTCCAGTTTGACCTCGTCCATGAGTATTAACTCAAACATAAACGAAAGGCGAAGCTTGAATTAACGGGTATGTCCCTCTTTGGCTAATGTACTTTCAAGATGGAGGGGCAACATGGCAACCGACATTAGAACCCCTTACCCGTATGTATTTTCAATGGCATATTATACTCTCACGAGAATACTTTATTACTTGAACGAAGTAAATATACATTAATGAGCACATATATTTTTGAAAGAACCAAGTGTTTTTAGCTAAGAATAAACTAAAAGAGTTACACAGTGTAGCTTTAAATCATCAATTATTGTTTTGTTTCAAGGAGTACCACAGATTGTAAAATATTAACTTCATTTAATGAGATTTTAAAGTTGGATGGAGATTATTTTAGAGCTATCCAAATGCCACTAGTGAAAATGCTCAGGTTTTTCTAATTGAATAAAATAATACTAGTTTTCTGTTATACCTGAACTTGCTTTCCAAGCCAATCGAAGGCAATAAAACCAGGGTCTGTCCTAATGATAAACAGGCCAATGGCAAACTGCAAACCAAGTCCCCAGAAGACGGTCCTCCAGCTCACCTACACAGCATTCAAAGCAAAGCAAATAATGTTTTTGTTAACAACCACTAAAAAAGAAAAAGGAACAAAAACACACTTTAAAAAAAAAACAGTATATACAGTTGTGGATTATTAAAACCATTGTCTATACAACTGTTGGAAATGATTATTGTCAGGAAATGATAGCCTCAACAATCTGATAAGGTTAGCAGAAATTCCAAAGTCTAAAAAAATGCATTCCAAGATAAGCACGTTCAATAAAGCATGTAACGCAGGTATGTGTGTGTTTATCACTTACAGCAGTTTTGTGTGCAGAGAAGAGAAATATGGCAATAATGAATAGGCAGACACCAGCAAACGAGATGAGCTGCTCTGGGCGGTTTCGTGTGTCGATGACCAGCCATGCCACCAGCAGTCCCAGCACGATTACTATGAACACCCTTGCAACGTACAGAGAGACATATCAACCACGACACATGTATAGTTATTATTTACATATTTTTGTTATTAAATGCACACATTGCATATTTGAATTATAACCTTTTCAAAGGCCCCACAAGGTTCAACAAAATTTTCAAAGACTATATGATATATTTCCAGTACATCTAATGTAATTTTATGAACAGAAACCAGGAGTTTTGACCAATCAAACTAATTAACCACATTTTACTTTTTATGATATTTTTATGTTTCAATTTTATGATTATTTTGTATTATATTGTACAAATAACTGGTAACACTTTACAATAAAATCTAATTTGCTAACATTAGTTAATGCATTAGCAAACGATCTAACAATGAGCTAATTATTTTCAAAGCGTTTATTAATCTAATAGTATGTTGTTTTTTTATGTTAGTTCACAGTGTATTAACTAATGTCTTAACAAATACAAATTTTAATTTTAATAATGTCTTGGTAAATGTTGAGATTAAAGGTACACAACTTTTGGCCCTCTAGCAGTTAAAAAAACAAAACTGCATGTGTTTGCTCTGCTTGACTGTAAGGATTAATATGGTTCTTTCTCGTATCTAAAAAAGAGAGAGAGATTATCCTCGTGAAACATCACTAGGCTTAAGAGCTTAAGAGTTATAAGCAGTTTAGAATGGAAAGGATGTTGACTAGCTGTAGACGTTACTGTAGTTTTGCCCATTAATAGACGTGGTTCCTTGAAAATAACTCCCAGCACAGCGCAGCAACAACCATAATGAATTTAATGTTTTATAATAATCATAGAGAGCTACATACGGCAATTTATCGGTTCAATAAAATATCTTACTCGACTGTTGAGAAATAAAAATGCCATTTCTGCATTGTTTTACAACATTTCAAATCCCTCTGTAGTTCTCACCATCTCCGAAAAGTCAAGCTAATGTTGATTCTTGTTTTATTACGGGCTCTGTCGTTCTCTTTTTGCCAGCAGTCTCTCCTCTGTTCGGTGTTTGTTTAAAACGGGTGATTCCTCATGTGGTTTGAGATTTAAATTAATAAATGGCGTAGAAATGTTGTTCATTAACTAATGTTGTTATAATGTGCACATTCTGTTATTTTTTGGTTTGACTGAGTTCCTAGTTAGTTTCCCTGGCTGTTAATTCCACACCTTTTTCTGTTCTCCTTAATGACGTTCCCTGTTTATTTATTAAGCCACCAGTTCTTTCTGTTTAAAAATATACTTTTGAAAGGGTAAAATTGACAGTCAAAACTAATAGTAAAGACATTTATAATGTTAAAAAAGATTTCTGTTGAAATGCTGCTTTAAAAATAAATTCTAGAGAATCCTGGAAAAATGCATAAAGCTGCACATCTGTTTTCATTGATAATAAGAAGACGACTGGAGTATTGATGCTGAAAATTCACCTTTGCATCACTGGAATAACTTACATTTTAATATATATATTCAAATAGAAAACTGTTAATAGCAAACAGATACAAACCGTATTAATGATAGTGTATCAACGTGTCCTACTCACCATTTTATCCATCTCATATTGGATTTGAGACACCTTTGAGCAGGCTTGAAGAACCTCTTTATTCGGTCACCCATGTACTTATTCACTAGTTTGGACACGATGATGAACACCCCAAGACAAGTGAGGACAACCAGAGCCACTGCCCTCTTGAAGTCCAAATAACATGCAGCAATGAAGTATGCTACATAACCTTCGATTTAAAAAAAACACCAATGGATCATGCATCCCTATGTTTAATTAGAAACAACTGTTCTTGACATTAATGGAACCATGAAGAACATTTTTGAACTTTCCAACACACCAACATTACTTTTGATTATTAAAATGACACTAAGAAAACAAAATGGTTCTTTGAATCATGTTCACTGAAAGCTCCTTTTTGAACCTTCATAGATATAAAACAGGGAAGATGAAAATACGTTACCTGCAGCAAAGATTCCCAAAGCGATGTATTTGATTATTTTGGAGTGTGCCTTGCAGAAGATCTCTGCGGCCGTGATGGGCATGCATGCTTTGCTGTGGTAAACAATAAATAATAGCTAGCTAAAGATCTTGAACATGTGAAGTGTAACAGCATAATTGGGTTGACAAGAGTCTACATACAGTATTTCCTAATTAGGATAAGCTTATTAAAACGCATTATGCAATTTCAAAGGAATTTCATTACTAAATAATGTGTACGAAATCTGAATGACCTCGTATTCACTGATTAAATTCACAACCACACCTTAGCCATGATTTTGATTCACTCTCTGACTCTTCTTTATCACTGTCACTTAGGTCATCTTCTAATTTATCCTCCTAAAGATACAAAAAAGTCGTTTTTTAACTTGTTAACTTTTCAGAGAACTTTCTCATACTTTCTCAAGCCTACCTTCACAAATGCTGGATTGTCCACACCTTTTTCATTCCCATACGACACGGTCGTCAGCTGTAAATCTTCTTTGTCCGCTGTTGGAAAGTATCAGAAAACGTTTTACCAGCTCTAATGAACCTTGATCCTTGAAGAGCTGCAAGTTTCTAAACATACCCGTTTTTCACATTTCATCCAAACAATCATTAATGACCTACATATACGAAACCAACACCTCCTTTATGCAAACCATGGTAAAATCAGCTGTTCAAATACCTGTTTGAAAAATAAATCTCTAAAGAATGGAGAAGTAAATACATGGCTTACTCATTCTGCGTTCTCTCTGACAACTGCTGGGTCTTGAACCTTGAGCTGGAATATATACTCTGCTCACTTGCAAATCTTATCATTAATTAACTACATACTAATGTGTTTTTATTTAAGACACTTGCACGTTGCTATCAGATTACTAGTCAGTGTGGGCTACACTGAGTAGTCATACAACAGCATCTTTTTATCATTTATTACAATGAAGCTCCACCTTATTTCAGAGGCCAACAAGATACAAAGTAGAGGAAAACAAACAAATATGTAACGTGACGGAGGGCCTGCCGTTCTGTGGCCGACTCAGAGGCAGAGTCACATGACGAGCAGGTGGCGACTCATATCCATAATTATCTATATATCAGTTCAATAAAACATTACCAATCAAAACTGGCCCAGTGCCAGGGCACATAATACAAATTTATTAAATGATTAAACTTTGATAATTTAATAACTTTTTAAACAACTGAGAAGATTTTATAAAAAATCACCTGTCAAGTTTATTATTAATAACATCAGCATATAAGAGTCAAATTAAACGACTCTATGGACTCATCTCAAGGTCACAGTTCATTTATTGCCAAAATTACAGAAAAAAAAGATCAGTCGAGAAAAGAAATTTATTGAAAATAATAAAATCAGGAAGCGTAGTTTGTGCATAAAAAATGTCTGTCAAAACCAACATGTGTTGAACGATGTTCTGACCCGGCAAACTTTCAAGAGGATTGATGATTTTTTCAACTTTCTTCTGCTATATTTTTGCAGCAGTGTGAAGTATTTCACTAATAACAAATTATAGTATAACAAATTTATACTCACATGTGTGATGCGTTATGTGTTATGTACAGTATGTTATCGTCTCTGACAGACAGCATGTCGAAGCCACTCAGGCCAAGTGTTCACTGCAGAGTGACATCCAACGACATCTAGCTCCTCCTCTCTGGACGTCCATCTCTCTGTGGATCTAATGCGTGGAGGGATGGAGCTGGGATTGATGGCGGGGTAGAGCTGGGATGAGTGAAGGGATAGAGCTGGGATGGGTGGAGGGATAGAGCTGGGATGGGTGGAGGGATAGAGCTGGGATGGATGGAGGGCTAGAGCTGGGATGGAGGGAGAGCTGATGGATGCTGGGATGGATGGAGGGCTAGAGCTGTGATGGATGGAGGGCTAGAGCTGGGATGGATGGAGGGATGGAGCTGGGATGGGTGGAGGGATAGAGCTGGGATAAGTGGAGGGCTAGAGCTGGGATGGATGGAGGGATAGAGCTGGGATGTCCATGGCGCCGTCGCCGTGCCTGAAGCAAGATAAACAAAAAACATGAAAACCAAAACACAATATATACCTGAAGAATGAAGTATTTTCAGACTTATACTTTTAAGTCTACTGTTCAATGTAAGCAGCATACAGTTTGGTTTGGATTCACAATGCACTTTTATCAAAAAACTTTATCGGCGGTCCCTGTTACTCCTGGGTCCAATAATTATCTATAATCGTAAGAGATGTTATGTCCTTCTGGTCTAGCAGAATTAAAGAAGTGCAGTTTTAAAAAATAAAGCATTAAAAAAGAGACAGCACTGCAGTGAGGTGTACGAACACTACACTGTAAAAAAATATTGTTGGTTTAACTTAAATTCATTCATTCATTCATTCATTTCATTTCATTTGGTTTATCATTAACAAATATACAGCAACAAATATTCAACTCATCATAAACTTAAATTTTGATTAAACCAAAGGGTATAGGCTGAAGCTCAAGGCTTACTGACGCCTATCCCTCTCAATATTTACAACAGTCAAACAGTGCTCAGTTTGATCAGTGCAAATAATGAAGTAACCTGGTTGCCATAAATTGTTAAGTTCATTGAAATGGACAAATTGAGTTAATAAAATGAAGGAGATTGATTTAATCATCAGGAACTAAAAATATTATGCTATCTGAACCACATAAATTATTTAAGTTGATTTGACAAAAGAAAATATGTTGTGATTACAAATCATGAACATATTTTTTTAGTGTACCAGTTTTAGACAGTTTGGACGCTAGATGCCACTGTTGCACATTGTACAATATAAGTTACTTATATGCCTGAATACAGAACACTTATACAGTAATAAAAACTCACTGACAACAATCTGAGCATAGCACACGTATACCATGTAGACGTCTGTTTGATGAACGTGTTTACATCTGGAAGACAGATTTTTTAGAGTGTTTGCTCATCTACAATAAGTCTATAGGACATTTCCTGAAGACTGAACGTTTTGGTCTTTGATGTTGTCTTTGTTGATAAGCAGCTTTGATTTCCTTTTAACTTCAAATTCAGGTCAAATATAGTGCCATTCTGACCCTAAACTGGTATATTATGCATTCAATAGAGTAGACTGAAGCTCCCATTTCAAGCTTATGAAGTTTACAGAATTAATAAATTAAATGCTACCAGACTATCAGACAATATGTGGAATATATGACTGTTTTCTTGGAAACTCGAAATCAGTCATAAAATTAAATGGAGCCTAATTCCTTTTAGTTAAAATAAGATGACGCACACTTGTAGCTTAATAGCTCGAATTGTGCATCACTGCATTTTATTGAAGGTCAAATGTGTACCAAACACATTAACAGACATTCATGAAGGCATTTTATGTGCTTTGCTGGATCGCAAGCATGTCATGCTATTTCTTAATATCAGTCAAGTCAAGTGTCTTTCCTGCTAATAAACATGCACATAAACATTGATGTTTTTTATTATCACTCTTACAGGCAAGTAATTTTTGTCAATATATGTATTTGCAAAATAGGATTCATTGTGGGTGAAAAGACCAGGCTATGCTCTAAGAAAATGTTTCAAAAGAAATGGTATTTCATCAGCACAATTAACCCTAATCCTGATCACCTTTATCTTGGCAGTTTCTTGAGAATGTTTTCAGTAAAAACGTTTCCACCCTGTCAAAGTCTGTTTTAGTTTAACTTTATATCTGATCAACCTATGTGACAGAAAAAACATTTCCTATATTTCAAAAATGTCAAATTTAAGGTTAGGCTACCAATTATTTTGATTGATAATAATGTTGAATAGAAATGTATACAAATGAATTAAAAAAAACTTTTAATGAAAACATCATGGTAAAATAATCGGGGTCTTATTTGCTCACTATGCTAATATGGCAAAAAAAAAAAAAAAAAAATGGCCATCTTCATTGTATTAGCCAGCCTGTAGAGATTGGTCAGGAAAAACAAAGAAATCCATGTGCACCGGTCAGAGATGTTTTCCAGTAATTTGTCCATGTAAACACTCTTAGTTTAAGGTGCCTGTGGTTTCCCATAAACTGCATTTTTGCTCGTCATATGCGCGTTTTGCATGCTCAAAGATTCCTGTTCACAAATGCTGTCTATATAGGCAGCTCACGAGGATTTGAGCCACAGCCCGTGTGTGGCGTTGAGCCTTGAGCGGGGTTCTCAAGCATACAGGAAGGGGAGAGAGCTGTTAGCTAGCAGACAGCGGACAACTGTAAACAACTCACTTTTATGAACCTCACAAATCAAACATACCTTACGCTGACTTGCTCATCCATTTGCATGGCATTTAAAATGTTGCTTTAAATGCTTGTTTAGCTGTAGACCGCAGACTGTTGAAGTATTACCGCAGGTTTGCGTTATTTACAGAGCAGGGATGCAAGCAGCTAGAGAAGCGCGCACCCGACTGCTCAGCTAAAGCTTCTGTCAACACGAACCGCTTTGCTCTCTTCATTTCTCTCTTCTGTCTTAACATTAAACACTGTAGAAAGGACCGGTCATGTGTTACGGAATGAAATAGTACCAATATGACTGTTAGCGATGTTTTGAACGGTTTGTTAGCTTGCCGAAGGTTTGTTTTCTCAGTTAGCATATAAGCTAAAGCTATCTCCAACATCATCGTACAAAAAGCCCATAACTGTAGATTAATGTGTTCTTTTATTGACGTAATGCCTGTAAAAGGGTGTACTATCGGTCTAAAACAAATTCTTCGACAGGTTTCAGGTTAAACTAATCTAAGCCATGGTGACAGGCTAACTATACCGAGGAATATTTCACTGGCTGGAAGAAAAAAACAGGAGTGTGGTTATGTCAAATACAGTAGTATTATGTTAAATGGCGTAGAAAGGAGTCTCCATAAACAAGTCTTTGAGCTGGCTGGCTACTATGGAAGTTCCTGGAAGTGTCAATGTAATGCAGATGAAAGTCCACAGCAGCAAGTTTAATGGACACCAACAACTGCTGAGATGAACTAACCAGGAATCAAATGGTGAATACTATTACATCTTTATTTTCTATTTAGTCATCATTGCAATTCAATATTTTATAGATCTAGGATGATAAATCAAGTTGTATGGGGTTTATATAATATATCTTTAGTTGTGGCATTCAATTATTTTAGATTGATTGTATGTGGCCTGCATATCATTTGATTTAATTCTCATTCTATATTGTATTTGCTTCAGGTTTTGAAAACCTTCAATCATGGGTGATATGAAGACACCTGATTTTGATGATCTCTTGGCTGCCTTTGACATCCCTGATGCGACCAGTCTGGATGCCAAAGAAGCCATTCATGGGAATCAAGATGAGGGAGAGGGACACCTGAAGCACTCAGAGATGTGTATGGATGCCACAGTTTTGATCCCTCACCCAGTGCCTACAACTGATGTCCCTGTTGTCAGTGTTATAGTAAAGAACACCAGTCGTCAGAACTCCTATGAAAATCTTGTGGAGAAGGAGAGCTCTCATTTGGGGCAGCTTTTACAAAATGGTTTCAAAACTTCTGCAGGCTCACTGGAGACACATCTCTCTAGCTATCCAAGGCTGGATAGCTCCTCTGTCAATGGGGACTGTTCAAGACATTCCTTGGAAAAAATTCCCACCCTCTACAAAGCTGAAAAAGTTCCCACTCAATCAGCATCTATGCCTCAGTTTAGCCCAATATCTAGCCCGGAATCTGAAGACATTCAAAGCAATGGAATCAATGACCGTCCAAAATCTACAGAGACGTCGTACTTCTCGTCTAATTCACTCTTTACATCTTCGACTCTTCCTGTTTTAGACAGTCGTGGAAATCCAGATGCATCCAGCTTGACAGACAAGTGCAATGAAAGAAATCATGGTTCAAAAGGTGTGGATGATCTCGAGTATGATGGCTCATCAAAAAAATATGATTCTGTGACTGAGAGGGACTGCATCCAAGATTGTGGAACAAATGCATATTCAACCCTTGAGGCGACTAGTCCTTCTTCCCGTCAATGCGACAAAGCTCATTCTTCCAGATTGTCCTCTTGTCTTGATGCATTAGTAGCCCTAAATGCTAAAAAGGATCCTGGTGGGCAAACTAATTCAAGGGACTTTCCAGTTACCCCAAAAGAGACCATGAAAATTAGTCCAAAAATACCTATTTCGCCAAGGAGCCCAAGAAGTCCTCTAGACGTGGTGAAACGTTTCGTGAAACAGCCTGACAGCCCAATGAGTATATGCAGTGACAGCAGTGGTAAAGCATCTCCAGCTGTTGCTACTGGCTCGCCTCCAGCAATCCCACGAGTCAGAATAAAGACAATCAAAACCTCATCTGGAGAAATCAAACGCACCGTCACAAGCATATTGCCAGACTCTGAGACCGAAGATCTCACGTCACCGTTTGGGTCTTCGCCATCTCAGTCCTCTGTTGAAGATGCCTTCTCGAAAACATTGCCTGTGTATCGGTCAAATGATATCATTTCGGAGGTCATTTTTGAAGATGGAAATCAGGAAGCCTCGAAGACCGCTTTGTTGGGGAGCAAATCCACCCCGAAATTGGTAAGGAGCTCAAAGAAACCCCAAACCCAAAATAATAGTCATAACTTAAAGACAACACATGGTGGAAACAAGCAAAGGAAGGCTTCTTCTGCTCAGATGGGTTCTTCTGCTAATACAAACTACCTTCCAAAGGCATTACATTTAGCAAACCTAAATCTAGTCCCACATAGCGTGGCTGCCTCGGTTACCGCAAGGTCTTCCACTAACAGACAGGAGCCCTCTCATTTATCATCGTCAATGGTGTGCAGTTCTGTACCATTGGTGCATCAAGTTAAAAAAGTCTCCCCAAACACACGAGCTGTTGTCTCAAATACTGCAGCTGGAACCTTAAACAGACTGTTGAATTACTCAAACCCAGTGCCAACATATGTTCCTGACCTGAGTCCACCACCAGGCACCAATATCAAGCTCCCACCACAAGGCTATTGCTGCCTAGAATGTGGAGACTCGTTCGGGCTGGAAAAGAGCCTTGCATATCATTACAGCCGGAGGAGTGTGCATATTGAAGTCGCATGCACACACTGCTCCAAAACATTGGTGTTTTTCAACAAATGTGCTCTCCTGGCACATGCTCGTGAACACAAGAACAAAGGGATGGTGATGCAGTGCACTCAGTTGTTCATGAAGCCCATTGCTATTGACCATATGTTGATACCCACCAAACCTAAGCAGTCCGTGACTCAGATCCCTTGCGGGAGCAACACCACCGAGTCATCCAAAGGCCAAGCAGTCTTGCCACTTTATCCCGACAAAGTTATTACACATGGATTCAAATGTCTGGACTGTAATAAACAGATGTCAGACTACACAGCACTTGCAGGTCATTATCAGAGATCTTCGGAGGCTGAAGGTCTGGTGAGTCATATTATTATTACTACTACATTCTTAAATAGGTCATAAAATACATTTTTAAAATAAAATAAAAAAACATTAAAATCCAATGCACACACACAATGACTGTACCTCTTTTGATGTTTTTAATTTATTTTTCATAATCTTTTATCAGGAACTGCTTTCTATTTTAGAAACTAAAAAGTTTGTCCAACAAATCAAGTCATGTGATTTGAACTATATGCAGAAAAAAAATAAAACAGGAAATGATATCTTTGAAAGGACTTTTGCAGACCCTTGTGACTTTCTGTCAAGGTCTTTTCAAGTTCCTTAAAACATCAAATCATTCACATTTTTAGGCAGGATTAGTTCTAATGTGGTGCGACCACCAAAAACGTGTTTTAATCATTTATAGTTTGACATAAAAAAAAATGTTTTAACCATTTCAAAAAGTATACTAAACTGTTGAAATTAATGGTTAAACCTGTTTTCAAGATGTAAGGAAGATGTATTATTACTTTTTACTTGATGGTCAATCTTGATAACCCCATAAAATAATGAACTTGGGCACTTGTTTGAAACTAGATTAAGAGATTTTTTCTTGCGTTCGTCATGGATGGACACTCTTCTGTGTCATTGACCCTTGTGTTTGCTTTCTTTAAATACAGATGTGCAAGGTTTGCTCAATGCTGCTACCCAACAAGTGCAGCTACAGGGCCCATCAACGCATTCACACACACAAATCCCCTTATTGCTGTCCTGAATGTGGGGCAATCAGTCGCTCGGCGGACATCCAGAAGCATGTGAAAGAGAATTGTCTCCATTTTGCCCGTAAAATTGGTTACTCGTAAGTACCTTGAACTGTGACCTCTAAGCCAATGACATTCTGTGAATCTGTTGTCATTTCTCTCTCTCCCCTCAATGATTCACTCAAATGCAATTTCCCTCAGGTGTCTGCATTGTGAAATGCTTTTCATGTCACTGTCCCTCTTGAAGACTCACATTGAGGAGAAACATTGTCAGGTCTTCTATAAGTGCACTAAATGTCCTGTAGCCTTCAAAACTTCTGACGGCTGTCTGCTGCATGTAAAAAACAAACATGGCGGCAGGGAACCCAGCCATCAGTAAGTGCATCTATTGATCTGTTATACTGTCATCATAATACTCAAAGTGTTCCTAGAACTTTGTTGAGGAGTTACTTCTGGTTTATTCTGTGCAGGATGATCTACAAGTGTTCCTGTGAAACAGTCTTTAAGAGGAAGCAGCTGTTGTATCAACATTTTCATCACCGTATTTGTGTGTTCAAGTGTCCAGAGTGCACTTCATTCTTCCCAGAGAAACTACTTTTGGTGCAACATTTTAAGGTTTGTTTTAGGGTTGTGAAAAATTACTGGTTCTTTGTTACCAAGTCGATATATAAAGCTGCAGTCCGTAGCTTTTTTTGGGTTAAAAAATATCCAAAATACATATTTGAGCAAATACATAACCAACCAGTGCTCAAAACTATCTACTTGCGTTAGCTCGATTCAAAGCGGTTAACTTGTAATAATATTTTAATTCCAGTGATACTGGTGGATTTCTGCGGGAGATTCGAGCATGTCTTTGCGTCATTACGTCACATCTGTAAACAAAGTAGGAGTTTCGGCTAGTAGGCTATATTGCGAGTGAGAATGTTGGAGGTGGAGATTTATAGCCTTTCTCACAGCACTTGATATAATTAAACTTATCAATTTGATGGCGGATCCAGAAAGGTTCAAACAACAATCACCAATGACAACAGATTCACTTGTTGTAAAATGCAATCGACTTTGTTCGGACTTTGGGAGTGGATACAGAAAAAAAGAGACTGCAACGGTCCATGCGAAAATAAGGATACAGATCGGAAAGACATTACATGTACTGTAGTCACGCAATGCTGACGTTGTTAACATTAACAATTTGAGAACAAATTATATTTTGCATGGTTTTGCGTGATACAATAACTTATAAGCGATTGTTAGATTTAATCAGCGCGATTTACTGCAATGTCAGAACCTGAACAAAAGTGGATGTTTCTCACTCATTCAGAGGACATTTTCCGGTGAAAATTCTTATGTTGCTCATACTTCCAAAAAAGTTGCTTCGTAAAAAAGTAATTCTTCGAATAACTGCAATTGCAGATTTCGAACAGAGATGGCGACAAAGAGAAAATAAACTCCGGACAGCTTTAGATTTTAAAAATGTAACGGTGCAAACTGCTAACCTTTTTGCAGTGCCGCTAGTATTGAGTACTGGCACTATATAGATTATAGATGCATGTAAATGTACTTATTGAAGGAAATCTTCACTGAATAATTTATTCAGTGTTAGGAAGGAGGTGTGAGTTCATTCCATACACATTTTCTACATCGTTTTCTGTCAATGACACTACAAGACATTTACATTTCAGACATTTAGCAGATGTTCTGCTATGAGACTGTTGTGTTCACCAGATGGCAAGCAGACCATTTAGAACATTATCTGCTAGGAATTAAGTACTTCCTGTACAGATGCAAATAAGTGGGGTCTAAATAAACCTAATACTGTATATATACCATATTTTCCAGAATATATCTTGCGATTTTTTTTTTTTATTATTATTTTTTTTTAATTATCTGCAAAATGCTGTGATGTAATCAAAAGCATTGTATATAATCCAATTAGTGTCAAGGTCGCAAAACATGCACAACGCACACACATTTGGATTCATGCTAAATTCACGAGCAAAAGTTTATTTGTATAGCGTATTTCCCAAATGCTGATAGTTTCAGTTTTGCTTTAAATAAATTAATTTGGGCTTGGCGTTTATAATAAATCTTCTTTATAATGTTTTCTCTCTCAACAATGCAGTTTTGACTCGGTGAGACTTATAGTTAGGTGTGACTTAGCATTCCTCATAATCTGCATGAGTTTGATTGCATGCTGGGAGGCATGTAATAGTCAAGATGAGAGTCTGTCTTTTGAAGTGGGGGTGCTTGCAAATGACAGATGGTGGTTCTGTGTGACACATGGTTCTTATTTTTTTTTGTTGTTGTTGTTGGAGCAATGGTTGGCTATTACAATAACTCTTAACAAAAGATAAGACAAAATGCTGTAACTTTAGAATGCATAGTGTCAACACGGAGAAAGCATATGAAATTCTTAGTTAATGAGGTCTGTTTATATAGCAGGATAAACGGAAAATAAAAAGAAAAATAATTTTTAGTATAATACTGTGGCAGAATGAAAGTGCAAGGAGAGATGTGTGTTGTTTTTTTATGGTTGCATCGACGAAAGAACGAGCAGGTCATTTATTTTTGACCGTTTAATCTGCCACTGCTTTTTCAAATGCCTTTGTACTTCCATAGTACAAATGATCTCTCATTTCTGTCAGAATAAAAGTGGTTGTGTATTTATATCATTTAGATATTGAAATAATTATTCACATTCAGAAAGTGAAATAAATTGTCTCTTTCATCTTCAGGCTATTCATGGTGGCGTTTTCAGAGGTGAAGCTGAAAAAAACCCTAAAAAGACAGAGACGATGTCTTTCTCTGATAAATTGTCACCAGAAAACTCCCAACCACGGTTGACCAAACCGGTTAAGGAAGCCAGCATGAAGGGAAGAGAGAGTTCTGCTGCACAGAAGTCAAGTGCTGTAGATAGCATGAAGAACACTGGTTGGACCTGTGGAGAATGCCTCCTGTGGGTCCCTGACAGGGAGACCTTCGTCAATCACATGAAGACCAGCCATGGCAGGGTGAGATCCTTTCCTTCAATCGATATGAAGTTAAAAGAGTAGTTCACTTTTGAAAAAACTTTTGCTGATAATTTACTCACCCCCATGTCATCCAAGATATCCATGTCATTCTTTCTTCAGTCGAAAAGAAATTAAGGTTTGTGATGAAAACATTCCTGGATTTTTCTCCATATAATGCACTTCACCTGTAACCAAATGGTTCAAGGTCCAAAAGACGATTTCAGTTTCGCTGAAACAGTCAGTTTCAGTCAGTTTCGCTTGATAAGACCCTTTGAACAGTTTGCAGTTTGTACTGAAACTGTCATTTGGACGTTGAACCGTTTGGTTCCCATTGAAGTCCATTATATGGAGAAAAATGCTGGAATCTTTTCATCAATAACCTTAATTTCTTTTCGACTGAAGAAAGAAATACATGGACATCTTGGATGACATGCGGGTGAGTAAATTATCAACAAAAGTTTTTTCAAAAGTGAACTACTCCTTTAAGCAATGTCTTACACAGTACGTGTGTATTTTGTATTTGATTAAATGACTAGTACTCCTTTTTTTGCTCTAGTCAATTTGTGATTTGAATGTTCATGTTTCTTTGCAGTCTGTAAAGAGGCATCCTTGTCGACAATGTGAAAGGTCGTTTAATTCATCCTTGAGTCTTAAACGACACATTCGCAGTGACCACGATGGGAAAAAGAAGGTTTACACATGCTGGTAAAACCGCTATATAATTAAAGTTTCATCAAGATATGTTTGTTTGGAGGAGTGCGACCTTGATTTGTATCTTTCTTGATGCATTCTGAAGGTACTGTACAAATGAGAGGATATCCTTCACTAAACACTCTATGCTTAAGAACCACATCAGCTTGATGCATGGAATCAAGAACCCAGATTTCAGCCAGATGGCAAAGCCAGCATCTCGGGAAGTGGGCAAACCCACAGGCCAGGTAATCTGAAATACTTCATTTATTTATTTTATAGGAACATTTTTAGTACTGCGTGTACATCTATACTTCCTCTTTCAGAGGCCGAAAAGAAGAGCAGAGGAGGCCCATGGAGTTGCAGGAAATGAGGGAACATCACACAATACCCCTGCCAAGCGGCCTAAGCCACTTTATCGCTGCGCCAAATGTGGCTTTACCTCTGAAAACCAGGCCCAGTTTCAGGAACACATACCTCAACACAGAACCGATAGCGACACACCCCAGTGCCAACACTGTGGCCTTTGTTTCACATCTCAGCTAGCACTCAGCAGACACCTCTTCATTGTACACAAGGTCAAAGAACCAGAGGAGCATGAGGAGACTGGGAAAGACCGAGAAAACTCAACAGACTTGAGCGATGAAACTGTACCTCATTTGCCAAAAAAGACTGGTCTGTCCACAGTGGAGGAGCAATGCAGACCCCACACCGAGCCCACAGACAGCAACAACACACAGGCATCAGAAACAAGTGGATTTGAGGAAGAAAAAGACTGAATAGTAGAAAGGACTCCAGTGGAAAGCTGCTAATCAACTTAATTGCAAGCATGTGATCGCAGAATATGCAGCTTATAAATGGGGTACTGAAAACGTGTTGCCTTACAGTCAAATACTATATCTCAAGTCACATGTATCACATATATTAAATAATGTTTCATTGCATTATTTGGATTAACTTAATTGTTCCATTCATGCAAATAATTGTCACTTTTTACTGCTTCTATGTTCATCCTATGTATGTGGATAATCATAATTTATTTTTGTGTAATTGCGAAAGCTTCATGTCAGTGTGTTTCAATGTTTCTTTACATAGCAATTGTATGTTTTTGTTCATGTACCATGTCAAATCTGTCTTGGGTACATTACAATGCAGGAAATATTATGTATGTTACATATCGTAGCCATAAGTGGGACAGTCATGTAATATTATGGCTGTTTTCAGGGTCACCAAAAATGTTGAAGTCCCTTTGACGGTCAATAGTTGGTGATGTGATTATGATGTGCTGGTCTTGAAGGAAGGGCATGTCTGATGATGTTTATTTTATATTTATTAGGTAGTGTAATTGTATCACAAAGCTAAACATCTGTAACAGTATTTGCTACTATGGAGATTACATTATTCTGAAAGGTATTCACTTAAACCCAGGTATCTGCACTCAGAGAAGATATATTTTCATATTCATTCCATGTAGATTACTCATTTATATTCAATGAGCCATTCTTACAATCAAATTTAGCACTTTTGTAAATGCTTGTATGGAAAAAAGAATTTACATATTAAAGACATCGGAGACTCAACTTTACAGTTTGTGCAATAGTAGAGATTTGATGTTTTGGGGGCCTTTAAAATGATAACTATAGCTATAAGATAACTTTTTTTTTGTCATTTCTTAGTTATTTCACCAATGTTTCAGATTAAAATGTTGATTATTTTAGTGTGACCAGTTTTGTGTAAGTGCTAGCAACTAATTACATCTTCAAGAGTAATTAGATTACTATACTTATTACTCTCTAAAAACTATTGTATTACTTGTAATCACTTTCTGAACCCCATTTCAACCTCGACCAGTTTAACAATAGACACAAAACTGCAATCTTGATTCTTTTAACATCAACTAAAATACATTTGCATTCATTATTATTGAACTGACCAAAGTATTTAAAGGAAGAAAGTTACATTAAAAACACATTTTAACATTACATTTTTATTATATAGAATTGCTATAGTCTATACAGTATTTAATGTGATTAGATCAGAAGTAGCCTGACTTTAATTTAATTAAATGAAAAATTAAGAGTAAGCCCTAACTTTACTTTTTCCAGGGAAAAGTAATTGGATTACTAAGTAATTAATTACACCCAATACTGAGTGTGACAAACTACTTCTTTACCAAAGTGAATATTTCTCAGGATTGGGTATATATATATATATATATATATATATATATATATATATATATATATATATATATATATATATATATATATATTATATATATATATATATATATATATATATATATATATATATATATATATATATATATATATATATATATATAATTTTTTTTTAGTACTGACTACAAAAAAGCCAGGGAACATTTCCACAAACTCTGGAAAGATACAGACATTGACCTAGGAGGGCATGTTTTATTTTGTTTACTCGTTTATCCAAGAGCTCGTACAAAATTAAAATATAATACTCATAATATTGAAATTTTAGTTAAGTTATATATTAGCTAAATAAGTATAATCTTACAAATAATATCCTTTTTTAAATCGCGACAACCTAACGTTAGTTCTCTCAACTTGCCACCCCCTAATTTTTCTTACCGGAAGTAACGCAACCAGTAGAGTCGTCGCGCATCCGCTAACAGCAGTGGTGGCGAAACATATGCACCAAAATTATAATTTTGCAATTGTTTTTGGTTGGCTTTTGCCATACATATTTAACTTACAGACAAGATGTTATCATTAGATTTCCTCGACGATGTTCGGCGAATGAATAAGCGTCAGGTGTGTATTATTTTAGCCAGTTAGCTCGGTGCTTCCTCTGCATTGCTCTCTCTCTTACTACACGTCAGCTTGAATGACAGTGGTTTTAACGGTCTACACGTATTGATGCTATTCATTGCGAGTTGCAAAGATAAAAAAAGATGGTTTGATTGAGTTTACATATATTGCTGTTATTAAGCAGATGGAGAGGACAATATAAACGGAAGTCGGCTTTTTGCAACAGCTGCTGTTCTGTTATTCTCTGCTAACTATTTCATTTGACTACTAGTTGCTACAATACTTTCACTTTAAGCCAATAGACTGAAAACGTCTGCATTCTGCATCCTCTTTGCTAAAAACACACAATATAATTTTTTATCATACTGGGACTCTGGGAGACAGAAAAAGCTGATGTTGGGCATCATGTGTTGTGTTTTTCAGCTTTACTATCAGGTGCTGAATTTTGGAATGATTGTATCTTCAGCCTTGATGATCTGGAAAGGCTTGATGGTTGTAACTGGAAGTGAAAGCCCGATTGTGGTTGTTCTCAGGTAAGGACATCAGTAGGAAGTCGGCTCATCACTCTCATACCAAATCCTTTGACTTTTGTAATGTTAAGAATTTTTGCAGAATGGTCTGATACCTTTTACATGACAGTGTTCCTTCCAGGAATTCCTTCATTTACAGAAACATTAAAGCTCTTTTTGTTGAACTGTTGTAACAAGTCACAATCTTAAAGTGAGTTTTCAATATCCTTATGCATTAATATAAAAAAAAAAACCAGGAAAAGTCATAGTAATGCACTAGAAAAAATTGTGTGAAAACCTTTCTTTATGCATGCATTGTTTTTGATTGCTGTGTGACTTGGGTCAATATTTTTTGTTGAACCTGCATGTTTCGATTTCAAAATTCTGTTTATGAATGTGTAATATTTTAATTTTTAAATGTCTTAATAGCGGATTTTTGGTGGGTATCAAAATATAAAACCTGCAGGGAGACTTTAAAATTGATTGAAGCATGTTTTAAGATCTGCACGGGACAATAAATATGCGCATGTCTAGGGAAATTAAGTGTTATAAAAGTATTGATTTTATTATTTTTTGCAGTGGAAGCATGGAGCCTGCATTTCACAGAGGAGACCTCCTCTTCCTCACAAATCGTGTTGAAGATCCAATCAGAGTGGGAGAGATTGTTGTGTTCAGGATTGAAGGAAGAGAAATTCCCATTGTACACAGAGTGCTAAAAATTCACGAAAAGTGAGTATACTTATAAGATCACAATGAATGTGGTATATAGACTGCCTGGCCAAAAAAAGTCATTGTTTGGATTTACTGTATATTGGCAAATGCTGAGTCGATGATTGGATCATTATAGCTGTAATCCTTATGTTTCTAGCATGTTATATGTTTGGCAACAGTTCGAACTGATGGAGTGTGCAGCTTAGAAAAACACATCATGTTTGTATTCCAGGATGACAATGTCAAGATTCATCAGGTTCGGACTCTGAGCCCAGACCTCAAATTCATTGAAAGTCTTTGTGATGTGCTGGAGGATACTTGTGCTGGATTCTTGCATAGATGCAATACACAATCTTGTGAAAGATATGATGCACCTCTTGATGGAAATAACATCACAAGATTTATTTCCAGGTCTAGACTCAGAAGTGCCAATTCATGTGTGAAAATGATTCTTGAGTCTCCCTTCCAACCATTCTTTCACAGTTTGAGCCTGAAGAATCTTGACAGTCAAATTTGAAATATGGCCATGGTGTGTCTTCTTAAATGGTTGTTTGAGAAAGGAAAAGCTACACACTCCATCAAGTAGGCTTAGAAGGACTTTTGCCTAACATATAACATGCCAGAAAAAAAAGATCTAATTATAGACTCTAGCATATCCCTATTTAGATACAAACAGTAATTGTTTTTTCCTTATTGTAAAGAACATTTTGATAGTCTAAAGAACCGTTTTTGTGCAATGGAAAGGTCCCATTAATGTTAAAGGTTCTTCAGGGAAACATTAATGCTAATAAAGAACCTTCATTTTTAGAGTGTATACCCTTTTGCGACTTTCTGTACACTTCTTTTTTCCTTCCAATAACACTAATGCCTACTGATTTCAGAGAAAATGGCGATATCAAGTTCTTGACCAAAGGTGACAATAATTCTGTGGATGACCGAGGTCTTTACAAGCAGGGACAGCACTGGTTGGAGAAGAAAGATGTGGTGGGCAGAGCAAGAGGGTAAGATCTTGATGATTTGTACGATAATAATTTACTGTAGTAAAATCCTTAGACATATTTACGCAAACAAATCTGATCTAGTAATGGAAGTATCAATCTATTCCATGTCCTGCATTGCTTTGCGTATGTTGCCACATTCCTGATCATTCTTCCTCCATGACAGGTTTGTGCCTTACATCGGAATTGTTACAATTTTGATGAATGACTACCCCAAATTTAAGGTATGTCATGTAATATGTAATGAATCAAGTTTAAAGTGCCCCTATTATGGCATTTTAAAGGTTTTCTTTAAACTCTGCACACCTTTTACATTCACAAACAGCTATATCTCACACTACATGTAAGGTTGTACCTGAAAAAAGCATAATGGGGGCAATTTAAGTGATAAGTTGTTACATTGCAGTTGTTCTAACACGTCTTCTTTGTTCCTTGACAGTATGCTGTACTCTGTTTGCTCGGGCTGTTTGTTTTAGTACACAGAGAATGAAGACTTTCAAGAGTAATGCTGTCGGGGAACACATCCCTCTTGTGACCAGTTTTTATGGTGTCTTTTTGTGAAAATTCTACACTTACACTTACTTAGAGACAAAGGTCAAATTATCAAAGTTTTCTCTCTTCAATGACCGTGCAAACACAAGAACTGGAAGAATTTGTATTTGTTCATTTTTCCATGGATACCAAATTCTGGGTTTGTTTGATCTGATTTTACAGCTGTACTTGTACACCATATGTCAAGATCTGTCTAACTCTTTCTTAAAGGCTAAATTTTGTATTGAATTAAAATGTTGAGTGAAATTCTCAAGTGTGTTCTCTTTTTTTTCCATTTTTTTTAATAAATTCATCCTTATTGTTAATTTTCTTTTCACATGTAAAGTATTGTTATAGTATTATCAGTAGTCGCACCTATATAGCCTTTAATATGTGAATCATAAATATAAAAATGAAATATAAACAAATCTGTTTTCCTATATGTATGCTTAGAAAATGTGCATCTTATTCATGCATTACATTAGGTCTTTTAAAAGGATAGTTCACCCAAAAATGAAAATTCTGTCATTAGTCACTCACCCTCATGTCATTTCAAATGTATATATGATGAACAAATTGAACTTTCATTCACATATAAACATTCATCAACATATCAGTTGTGGTAAACGAAAGCTCAAGCATGTTTGCTTGATGTACGAGAACAAATGAGGTTCATTCTTGTGTTACGCAGCACGTTTGAGCTTCAGCAAGAACCAAAGAGGCTCATTCTCGTGTTAGCCATATTTGAGCTTCAGTTTATGTTCGGTAATCAATGTTTATATGTGAATAAAAGCCTAAATTCAATCTGTGTTTTGAAGACAAACGAAAGTTACGAGTTTGGATCTCACACTCATGTTGTTTTAAACGCGAGTATTAAATGATTTTCATTTTGGGGTGAACTATCCTTTTAAATTCTCATTGTAAAGTATTATTATTGTGTGGTTTTATTAGGAGACACCCGTATATAGCCTTTAAGATGTGAATAATCATAAATACCAAAATTAAATATTTAAAAAGCGACCCTTTTACCTCAATGTATGATTAGAAAATACTGTTTTATTCGTGCATTAGGCCTTTAGATCTGTTAACTCGACTAAGCATTTATTAGGTTTCACGTAAACCAGACTTTAAAGCAAATTAAGCCATGGATAAATCTTGATAAGTCATAGTAGTTCCTCGTGTTTATTACATAGTCACACATGCGACTCACAATATTGAAATGATTTATGAATTCCCAACGCCTCAAAACGCTTTACCGTTCTATTAATTGTATTAACTTGCATGCGCACAGCCTACGCACGTCACATATCGTTTCCTATCCTCATTCAAACATTCGCTGTCGTTATGTGCGTTCAGTGACTAAAACTATGACCTCAGAACCGTTTGCCATCCCGTCCCATAAATACCGCCTGCAGAAGAACATCAGCAAGAGCTCGCGACCAGGTGAATCTCAACCGAGGAATCCACCTACAGTTACTCGAGAAGATGGCTTTGAGAACTGAAGATGGACATTGCAAATATAGCCTCTTATTCGCTCTCATTATGCTTTTTAACATATCCTTAAGCACATCTGTGAGTTTCGATTTAACGGAGCTGCGAAATAAAGTTTCGAAAATAAAAGTGCATCCACGTGGGAATCTCTGGGCGACAGGTATTTTATACATCGTTTATTGCTCATGCAGTTAAAAACGACTATTAAAACAACTTCCCAGCATTATTTTATGTCTTCTTCCAGGTCATTTCATGGGCAAGAAGAGTATTTCAAACAGCCAGCCGCAGGACTCTCCGTTCTCCTCGAAGCTTCTCAGGAATACTGTGGGAGAAGAATCAGAGAGTTCCGAGGATCTGAGGGAGATGATCTCTCAGGAGCTGCTGAAAGTTGCTCAGCTTGAACAACCAAAAGGGACACGAGATGTTTATAACCAGGTGATCAGAGCTATTTACAGAATTGGACAACACGACGTACAGGGTTAAAAAAAATGTAGATATTGTTGCCTAATTTTTAGTTATTATTTTTTTTCAAGATAGAGACTTCATTGTAAAGCTTTTGAAAAGCTATTCGTTGGAAATAATTAACTTATGACTCCCAATTGTAATAAAATGTTAATTTGACAAACTGTACGATATTGGAGTGAGTCTTCTTTTAATGTTTGTCATATACAGGCTTATTAATAAAACTAATGTAGCCTATTTTACTGCAGAAAGTGCACTAAATATTCACTAATTCAAATGTCTGGATATCTGAAAGAATAAAATCAGAGGGTGAATGAGTGAATGGATTAATGGATGAATGAACGTGTTAAAATATTTTTTTAAATAAATATGAAACTGCGTATCTCGGCAATATGGTTACAGATGTAATCTAGATGGTCATTTTACCTATTGCTCTTACATATTTTATTTTTCAAATGAACAACTAAGACATTTCATAGAAATAAAACCACAGTGGACGGATCATGTGGTACAAAGCAGCTTATCGTTCCCATGGGGTTCCCTGATGCGCGCAGGGATTTGGAGCCGTTGTAAACAGATGTAAGAAATGCTTTTTGTAATTTTTAAAATTTTTAAAAGTCCTTTAAAATATTCTTCGGTTAGTAATGTGAGGTCAGGTATTTTGGGGAAATGTTTGAGCACCAATATAAATATATGAAAAGCAATTTAAATTCAGAATTGATGTCTGTGTATTCATCACATGCACATAGGTCCTGTCAGAATGATCCATATACTCTAAACAGCAACATCACCGTGAAAAAAGAAATATTTTGGTAGTTATTCTCTCTCTCTCTTAGGCTACATTTAATAACGAATAATAGTAATAATATTACTATTATTTACATTTTTATTATACAATTTATTATTTATGCATAGGACTATGCATGAGTGCTTATATAGGCTAAAAATAGCCTAAGCTTAAACGTTTTATTGAAGGGGAAGTAATCTTCAAAATAGTTTCTAAAGTGATTAATTTTATCTGTAGATAAAATTGGCCCACAAATAAATAATCATTTTCTTTAAATTGAAAGGTTATTTAGCAAACCTATAGAATTTTATCTGAAAGAGACTATCAGTGTGCAATTCATTATAATTTATTAGATTATCAAACAAAATTACCATGTTGGAGTGCATTTATCTTTTTGTTCCTTTGCAAAATTACCAACCTTTTGTAAACTCAGACCACTCAAATCAGTTTAAGCACATGTCAAGAATTATGACTTATTTTAAAGTCCCCGTGAAATCAAAATTGAACCTATTTACTTTGCTAGCACATATTACTAGTCTTGTGTTGAACAATTAATCCGTGCAAGTGAATATATATTAAAAAAATGTTTTACCTTAGTAATCTTTAATCAAAATCTGAAAAGTTACTTCCGGTCTGGAACGGTTTCTTTTTCTGATGACGTAGGTTTCACAGTTTGGGTGGGGAAACGCTTAACCACTCCCCTCAAACCGTTAGTTTGCTATGAGCGAGAGATGGAGAGGAGGAGCGCTAGAGTAAAACCCTGCCCTCTGTTCAATATTCCGTTTCACTTGGAAATACGTCACAGCACTGGAGAAAAATCGTTTGCAACTTCCGGTTCACGGGGACTTTAAGCAGTGATGAAACGTGGACACAACCTCCTCTGGTACAATTTACATTTTGGCTACTGACCTATAGAGGGCAGCAATGCACTATCTGTACCCGGCCGCTACATGAGCGCGAGCCGCGAAGAAGAGCTTCTCATGTTTTGCTGTTGAAAAGCATGAATATCATCTCGTCAACTCGACTTTGTGCAATAAAATGCCTTTAATAGTGATGTGTGGATACCCGTGCAGTGGTAAAACCCGACGAGCCCATGAACTGCGAGAATATTTCACCCAGAATACAGAAAGACAGGTTCATATAGTCGGAGATGAGGTTCAAGGGATTGACAGGAGCTCTGTATATGCAGGTGAGAAGCTTCAAAGTTTAACAATCCTCTATTGCCATGTGTGTGTATGTTACGACAATCCTGAAGCCAAAAGTCTATCTAACTGAGAAAGCAAAACACTTTACAATTTAAAATGGTTTGCTGGTCTTATAAGCAGTGTTGGGTAAGTTACTTTGAAAAGTAATTCATTATTTGCTATAATTTCTTATTCAATAGTAACTGATTTATGTACTAATAGGCTAACTCTCTATAAAGTTGTTTATTGGATTACTAATTACTTTCTGAATCCCATATCAACCTCTACCAGTAAACAATGAACACGAAACTTCACTTTTGATTCATTCACATAAACAATATGCAATTGCATTATTCTTGAACTGACCAAAGTGTGTAAAGCGAGGTTACATTTAAAAGAAAATACGTTTTAGCATTACAATTTGATGTTAAATCCACAGAATTGTTCTAGAGTCTATACAGTATTTAATACAATTACATTTTTAATTAAATTACAGGAAAAAAATAAGACCCTTGACTTTTTCAAGGGAAGATTACCTGAGGGAAGAATAAGATTACCTGATTAATTACACCCAAAACTGCTTATAAGGTTTTGTCACATTTTTATATTTGCTGTTTCTTTGCTTACAGACTCACAGAAAGAGAAGAATTTGAGAGGATCACTGAGAGCTGAAGTGGAGAGGTCAAGAGAGAATCAAACATAACAATGATCAATCGCAAACATGGATGTTCAAAAGAGAAACATTTAGATGATCTAATTTAATCCATTAAATTCTCATAATTGTAATGTCCATGAATTCATGTTTTTTTGTTGTTTTTTTGGAAAATATTTGTAAAATTTTCTACAAAAAAAAAGAAAGAAATAGATTAAACATTTTTCAAGATAAACGTATTTATTCAAATGTCATGAATGTTTTGAGTCACGGATACTAAAAAGTTCTAGGATCAGAAAAGGTGCCTTTTTATCGATTTGAAAAGATTTAATCCTCTTTTGTTATTCAAATAGAAATCATTCAGTAAAAGTTCTTCATGTTCAAATTAATGTGACATGAAGTCCTAATGTAGCTTTGGGAGTAGCCTAATAATTCAGTCCTGTCAATCATAATCCCAAATGTGTATGAGCAGCAATCATAAACTTACATAAACATACAGTTTGGTCTCTTGTCGGAATGATCGCGTGCTACAGAAAAATCAAGACAAAAAATGTGCTGTTGCGGCTTGCTGGGAAGAATTTTACAGCATTAATTATATTTATTAAATAAATTATATACTTATATTTAAATAGTCCACTTGTAAAATTATAACGGTACACTAATTTTAATTATACACTTGCATTATCAGACTACTGTGACTTTGATTTATATGATTTCTCTTTGATTCTCTCTCTTTGTAAACAGGAAAGTCAATAGAGATGACATTGTGATTCTTGACTCCTTGAATTATATTAAAGGTAAATCAATGTTTGTTCTGTTTTAATGAATACATCTACACCTTTGCTATTCATATAATGTTAGATGTTTAAATGTACCTTTAGAAGTTATTGATCCTGTACAAGAGTAAACAGTGTTATGTTAAGTGACATTCAAACTCTCAACTGTTGGTGTTGCATGTGACATCTTATGATTTCAGTTTGGTTTATTATTAACGATTAATTGTGTTTTAATTCCAGGCTACAGATATGAGCTCTTCTGTCTTATCAAGCATACACAAACACCCCATTGCTTGGTATGTAAGCACTTATAACTTATATATTATCTACATTTTTGTATGCTGTGCACATAATGCTATAACCCCTGCAGATATACTGTTTGACGTCAGCTGACGTGAGCTCAGAATGGAATAGAGGCAGAGAGGCTGATTGTCAGTACACACAGGAAATGTAAGCATTTGTTTCGTCTCAGTTTGGTACTATTAAAAGAATAGTTCACTTTGAAATTAATTTTTGATATTTTTTAGCTTACCTCAAGGGCATCCAAGATGTAGGTGTCTTTGTTTCCGTAGTAGTTTCAATTTTGATATTTTTAGGTCGCTAATGTCTGTCAGTCATATAATGCAGGTCAATGGTCACCACCTCAAAGAGCATGCACAGACAAGTCCAAATTAAACATGTTTAATGACTCGTAAATGTAAGTACACATTGATGGCCGAAGACACGAAACGAGTGGTTTGTGTGAGAAAACGAACAGTATTTATATCGTTTTTACCTCTTGTAACCACAGCCACAAAGTGCCCGCGCCCTCAGATCACTTGCAGGTGGCTGTGGTTACCGCTCGTTTCATGTCTTAGGCCATCAATGTGTACTTACATTTACGAGTCATTAAACATGTTTAATTTGGAATTGTCTGTGCATGCTCTTTGAGGTGGTGACCATTGACCTGCATTATATGACATTAGCGACCTAAAAATATCAAAATTGAAACTACTACGGAAACAAAGACACCTACATCTTGGATGCCCTTGAGGTAAACTAAAACGTATCAAAAATTAATTTCAAAGTGAACTATCCCTTTAATTATGTTTCTGTCATAAGACATACAGCACCATTTAATAGATCAAAAGTTACAGTAAGGACATTTATAATGTCACCAAAGTTTTCCATTTCAAATAAACATTGTTCTTTTGAACTTTTTAGTCATCAAAGAATCCTAAAAAAAACAGTTTTCACAAAAATATAAACTTTTCAACATTGAGAATAATAAGAAAAAATGCTTAAATTTAAATTTGCATTTAAATTACATCTGTAAAATATTTTTAAATTGTAATAATATTTTATATTTTTTTAAAAAACTTTTGAATGGAAGTTGATGATGTTCTAAAATAAAGATGATAAATATATTATACTTCATCATTACCAATCGTTTCCATTTTTTTTAACAACAGTCTTGATGGACTAATACAGCGTTTTGAAGCCCCTGATTCAAGGAATAGATGGGATAGTCCACTCTTTACTATTCAGCAAGAGGACTCTCTTCCATTTGAAGCCATCTGTGATGCGCTGTTTAAAAGAAAAGCACCAGCACCTAATCAGTCCACACAGAGCGTAAGATCACTAATAATGCGTTATCCATGAGTATGTAGCAACATTATGTACTTTTGATGGCCCATGAATGGACATTAGAACCGGTTTCCATTTCTGTTTGTTTTACAGCAACCGCTCTCATCCACCAACTTTCTGTATGAGTTGGACAAAGTTAC